GTCGGTGGTGACGGATCCGATGGGCAGCAGGGCAGCGGTCAGGGCCGACAGACCGGAGGTAGGTCAGAAAATCATCCACCACCAACACACATGCCACCCTCCTCTGTGGACGCTGTCCCACCAGGTGCGCCGTTACCATCTGGCTGGAATAGCTTGGAGAGCGGCGAGATCGACGTCCGCTTCCCTCTTGGCACCAGTTACGCCAGCAGACAGCTGTCCGAATCCATCATTCGCCGCACCATCACCGACGCACAGCAGGTGACGCAGCTGATTCAGCAGAAGGGAGCCGACCTCAACGTGGAGCCACTGCTGCGGGTGGCGGGCACCACGGGTCGCTATGAAGCTTATCCGCTGGTGGCGCTGTGCATCGACAATCTCACGGACAACAGTCTGCCGTCCATCTGGGCAGGCGACGGCGGTGACTACTCTCCCGTCGCCATGCCCACGTGGGAGACGCCAGCACTCCAGCTCGCCGTCATGCGGGCTCTCATCCAGAGAGGGGCGGACATCAATGGCGGTAGCCATTTGTCTAGGCCCATCCGGGTGGCCCTCGCGTCGTGCAACCGGGCCGCCTTCGACCTGCTGATGGGCCAGCCAGGTGCACACCCATTTACACCACTCACGACACGGAACACACATCATGATGTCTGTCTGTCTTTCTGTCTGCCTGTTCCAGGCATCCAGCTGCGCGGGCGGGAGGCGGCGATGCAGGTGCGCACATTGCCGACGGACCAGCCGACTGAGGCTCACGAGGCCATCCTGCTGTCCTTCTACCGGCAGCTCATCCAGCGTGACACCACACTCGCAATCGAGCGGGACCTGGGTGGCATGAATCTGCTGCATAATGCGGCCATGAGACCTCCCGTCTGGTCCCAGCAGTTCATCGAGAGCTACATCGACCTGCTGGTGGCCAACGGGGCGACATCACGGCCGTGGACATATTGGGTGGACGCACGCCATTGCACTTGGCGGCACTCTGCAGCTGCGGCTCCCACCGTGTCGCTGCCTCTCTGTGTCGGCGTCTCACCGCTGCCGACATCAACAGAGGGACCCCGAATGACCCCACCTACACACCCCTCACCGTCGCTGCCGAACGGCTCGATGAGGACATCCAACAGCTGCAGGACAACAACACGGAGCAGGCCGAGAGGGACCGCCTCACCGTCCGGATCCCCCACGTCAAGACCACCATCCGTGTGCTGCTCCAGGCGGGCGTTGACATCGCTCTCATGCCCACAGCCACAGAGGAGGACCGCCGTCGTCGCCAGCTGGTGCTGCCCGAGTACGCGACAGTGCTCAACAATCTGCCAGATGCCGTCATGGCTGCCATCAACGCCGCCCTCGCCCCTCAGCGGTCGCTCGCGGCCTTGCTCGCCCCCCGGCTGGCCGTCGTCCCGCAGGAGGCCCCCATCTTCGCCTGGCGCATCGCATCGTACCTCTTCGACATGGCGGCCGCCACCCAGACCATCACTGAGGCGATCGGTGTTCGCCACACCGCCATGGCCCGGCGTGTGCGTGCGGTTGTTGAGCATTTCGTCCGGTCGGCGCTTGCGGCCAGCAGCAACAGGGAGGTGGTGGGCGGGATGGCCGATGTGGGCGGCGAGATGGTGCGGGTGCCGCTGCAGTGCTTCGCCATCAGGGGACAGCAGGGGGGCGGGCAGCACCGGCTGCTGGGTGTGCGTGAGGTGGTCCACAGGGCCCGGCTGGACGAGGCGGCCCAGCATGGCGTGGCGGGGGTGGTCAAGGGCTTCAACGAGCACCTGGGGGATGACGACTGCCAGTTCCAGTGGCAGCAGTTGGGGTGCGTCGAGAGGGGCCGGGACGGCATAGCGACCTTCAGACCGCTGCAGCTGACGTGAGATGTGTGAGCGGGGCACATGGATGGATGGATGGATGGATGAGGGTGAGGGGCAGGCAGACGGGCAGGTGGGAAGGTTTTGATGTGCGCAACTAGGTTGACGTCGCTACCTCACTCGCTGCTTCCCCGGTGTGGGTGGACGGACTGATAGATGGGAGGCAGGCAGGCCAGCAGCTGGACAGACAGGCACCGGTGGGTGTGAGTCATTCTCATCATGTGTTCACCCAGTGGCACCCCTCCAGTCGGGCGTCTTCGACGTGAATGCCTTGATTGATGGCTCACTTGCTGCCTGTATCTCTGCCTACCTGCATTTGAATAGCTAGAGACGGGTGACTAGCCGTGTGAACAAAATCACACGTTGGTGCAGCTGGATGGATGGATGTGTGTGTGGTGACTGACTGACTGGCTGGCTGAATGACAGTGTCTTCGACCGATGAACCCTTCGATGTCTCGATTGGTGGTCCGCACGCACCGACAGAAACTAGAAAGACCGACACCCACTCACCCACTCAAAACACCTACCTCTGCGAGAAGGGATGGTTGATGAAATGGCGGGAGAGACTGCTCTGCCGCCGATTGATGTGATGTGATGTGTGGATAATTAAGGGATTTAGTGGTCAATCACGCTGCTCCATTCGACCATAGTCATATCTGTCTGTCGCGCAACCGTATACAAAGTCAATAAAGCGCACCACACACGCAAGGTCTCATCTATACAGCGTCATATTTTCCCGACCTCATACACCCCCACATCTCCCCGCTACGCAAAATGAGTACCAGATGCACACTTGCCATACGTGTGAACGATGGCAGGCAGGATAGCTGCAAAAATGCACGTGATCGATCGATCTGCCTAACCTGCCTGCCTGCCTGAATCGCGAACAAGGAGACCCAGCAACCTCTGACCATCAGAGGAAGGTCAGACACAGCACACTCACGACACACCACGACATCAGCCAGAAGACCATCCATCCATCCATCAGTCACACACAGGGGTCTGCTGGACCGCTCTGTCTTCAGTGCCCTTCATATATATATATCAGCCACCCTTGTTCACGAGCCCCCCGGCAGATCACACAAAGCAGCCCCAAAAAGCTCATCACCACGCTCGCTAGGTCGAAGAGTGAAGGAAACGATGGGGCAGGGCAGGCAAGTAACTTGCCGCAGGACAGGACACAAAGAATAAATAAGAAAGCCAAAGACGACCAAAAACTGGCGGGGGGCTCTCTCCTCTCTGCTTCGCTTGGAGGGTCTTGATGGTCGTGTCAGCCTCGGTCAGCCGCTTCTGTTTTCCCGCCATCTCGGCTCTCAATGCCTCACTGTCCTTCTGCGCACGGCTGCGCTTTCCATCCCGCTCACCAGCTGCGCCAGTACCACTTTTAAGGCCTCGACATCGGCTCGGGCGGTCCCCACGTGCTTCTCACTCTCAGCCAGTGCCGTGTCACCCTCCACCAGCTGCGCCTTGAGAGCATCTATCTTGGACCCCATCGCCGCGTTGCTGTCCTGCAGCTGCCTGATGGTGGCTGTCTGCTGCTCATCGCGCCAGGCCGCCTGCTGCCTCTCCACAGCTGCCAGTCGCCTCTCGAGATCTGCATGAGTAAGCCGCTCCTGCTGTTGCCTGATCTGTCGCTCTGCCTCGATGAGTTGGTCGGCGGTTTCCTTGTGCGTCTGCACCCGGGGAGATGATGGGTGTGACATCCGCTCGTCCCTATGGCAAGGAGAGATAGGAAAGCCAATCAGCCTGTGGTTGCCTGTGTGTCGAGATTGCAGCGGATCTGAGTACCGACGGTGTCAGCGATGCTCTGACTGTCCTGGCGGCCGCTCCCAAGCTGGAGATCTCCAAGATCTTCCGCTCGCAGATCTGGCGATCGCTTCGCTTTGGATGAGTTCTTGAGCCCTGCGAGCGGGGCAAGTCTGCCTACAAGGTGAGTCCTACTCAGTGGCAGCTGCACACCTACACGACTTCTCACCGCTTCTTGATCTCCTGCGCTGGTGTGTCTTGCAGAATGACCTCCTCATGAAGTGAAAACATTCCGCTTCTCACGGCCACCCGTAGGCAAGATGCGGCACGCCTTGTCCGTGTGCTATGTGTCATCCGTGTTGCACGCAGGTCGTTCGTCGGCCGTTCGTCGCTGATGCCCCGGTTTGCTCTTCACCGGCTCTCCCGGCATCTGTCACCGCTTCGCCGCCTCGCCAGCCGCATCCAACACACAGCTGACGGCCGACGCGTGTGGCATTCACTGCCCGCACCCCAGCGGCTGCCCGTCGCGCGCCACCTGCACGAGAGGCAGCAGGACGTGGCATCATTTCCGCGTGAGGAGCAGGCGGAGCTGTTTGCCGCCCTCGCGACGGACGGCCAAGGTGAAACACGCCACCGTCATGCTATTGGAGGAGCAACTGGCGGCGCGCGACTATGCACTGGGAGAGGAAACAAAGCGCGTGATGGATGCCGTCCAGCAAAGCAAAGAGGCGACAGACGGGCTCAAGGCTGCCGAACAGCAGCTGACAGATCAAGAAGCGGCTATCTCAAGCACCCAGGTGCAGCTGGTGGAGTGCAACGAGGCGCTGAAAAAGAATACCAAGAGCCTGGCAGACGCTCAGGACAGCATCAAGAGCCAGAAAGAGGCAGCAGGAAAGGCTGAGGGTACCATCAAGGACAAGAATGACCGACTGAAGGCTACTGAACAGCAGCTGGCAGATCGAGAAGCCACTGTCTCGACCCTCAAGAAGCAGCTGGCGGAAGCTCAAGAGGGGCAGCGGCGTAAGGAAGAGCAGGTTCTTTTCGAGCGTCGAGCAGCTCTCGGGGTGGGTTCTGTGGGACTCGTCCTCTGCACGTTCGGCTCTATGGCTAGCCCTTTTCTTGGTCTGCTTTACCTGTTACTGTGGGGTCTGCTCATGGTGATCTGTAGTATCCTACCCTGAAGGCTCAAGAGCAGCAGGCACGCAGACACTCATCGCTGCCGCATAGCCAAACTACACAGCCTGGTGTGGACTGCAAATGGGTGGCAACTTGTAAGGAGAGAGTTTTTGCCGTGTACGTATGAATGTACAGCTGTATGTGTCCCTTGTGTGAGAATGATGGTAATTGTACCGATGGCGAGCCTTTATGAGCGTGCCTGGACACTTGCCGACGGGATGCCGTCTGCTGCATGGCCCGTCTGAGACGTTTGCTGTACCATACATAGCCAGCATGACCACTGTATGTCCACACACAAATGCACACCCGATTATGAAGGCAATGAGGTCCCTTCCAGCAGCAGCAAGAGATGTGGTCCCACCACCCACCCTCTCCCACACACGTACACATTGCACATGAATGCACCCATGCACCCAGAAATGGCTGCGATAGATACCTAGCTGAGGTTGGCGCGCGGAAGAAAGAGAGCGAATTGACACGAAAAGGCATCCATGTGCTTCGATGACTAGTCAGAGACCGGCACACACATGCACGCACACAGCTCTCCTGGCTCAGGTGCTGCCATTGCCCATTGCCATATGAACGACATATACACACACGTCCCTCCCTCCATCCCTCCCTCCCCCCCTCCATCCATCCATCCAGCTGTACATGAAGAGACGAGACGAGACGAGACGACACGTCACAACAGGTCATGCTGTGGGGGACAGGGAGGGAAAACATGAGCGCTAAGATGCTTTCGGTCAAGTCAGTCAGGTTTACTCAGGTATACACACCAGGCAGTGGGCTTTGTCTGTGTGTGAACAGACAGTGAAGCAACAAAATGGCCCAGACGATGGCAGCGTCGAGCACGCCAGGGTTGTTGCACTCCTTCATTGCCTTCTCCCACACCGACAGAAACCCACACCCACACCTGCACGTACGCGTCTGTATATACATGTATGTGAGGGTACTTTTATTCTCTGTACACACACAAGTACGCCCTCAATTACACACTCTACTGCACAACGGCCAGTAGCGATGATTCCTTCTGGCTGTCTGGCTGTCTGGCTGTCTGGCTGTCAGGTTGCCAGTCTCTAACAGACACGCAGAGAGAGAGGAGAGATATATAAACGCACCAGGATGATTAAGAAGGAGGTCTTCTCGCATCAAGCGCACACGCACGCACCACAAGTCAGCGAGAGGGTTCGAATCATATGAGCGATAACCGAAAAAGGGCGGTCGATTCATTCATCACTGCCGGGCCATCGGCATCGGCAGGCAGCAGCAGCAGCAGCAGCACGAGGAGTCTGTGTCTCTGTCTGCTCCACCTTAGTTAGCAATACATACGGGTACATGTGCACACCTATACACCCGCCCGCTTCACATCCCTCACCAAAAAGATCCCTCCCGCAGCCAAACAAAAGGACCCCACCTGGCCTCGCCTCGCTTCGCCCTGTTCATTGTTTGTGCGCCCGCCCCACCACCCCACCCACCATGCCGTCAGTCAGTCAACCCATTGCCAGCAGTCAGTCAGATCAGCCAGTCCATCGGTCAATGTCTGTCTGTGTACACATCCACACACACACATACCACACACGCACGTATGCACCCACACACACACAAGAAGTGAGACAGAGCAATATGCCACGGTCGGCCACCTATATGCACCGCACTGCCACCACGACGTCAGTCAGCACTAAAAACGCCCAATCCCTTCCCCCTGGCATACCCACCCCGCCCCCTGAGCTGCTCTGCTTGGGCCAGTCGAGCCTTTCTTGCTCTCCAGCGAGTTGTTCTCGCACACGTGGTCATGGTTGTCGTCCTGGGTGTCCTCGTGAGGGAGGTGATGTCGCAGTGGAGGGGTGGGTGCTCGGGCGACGTTTCTTCAACATGTGTGGCGTCAGGCTCTTGGGCTGGAGGGACCTGCACGTATCCATGTGTGACAGAGTGAGGACACAGTGGCGTCGAGGTGGGTGAGTGCTGTTGCTCTGATGGTGGATGCACCAACCTCTTCTTGTTGCCCGGGTGTTTCAACTGTGCACCTCCTTTGCACCTCACCTTTCTTGTCCTCCTCCTTGGCCTTTAACAGGCGGCTCTGTCTTGCCAGCGGCCTCTTCAACGGGAGCAGGGGGGCGCTGGAAAGTACACACAACACCACGCATGAATGACACCACAGCCTATGCAGGTGTAGTTGTCTGTGTTTCATGTGCCACCTGTCTGGTTGTTCTTCCGGTTGGTCTTCGAAGGCGGGTTGGTAGCCCTCATCCGAGGGCACACACGAGAGGGAGGACGCATGATCATTCGAATCATTGCGGAACAGTCTACTACAATTGCAGACAGACAGACAGACAGACAGACAGACAGACATGTCAAACACAGACCTTCCTGTGATCTGTCCATCCATCGTGCTGTACCTTTGCAAGACGGTGGCCTGGCCTACTGTCACCGGGGGATCTGATGCACTGGATCCGTGGACGGGCGTTTTCGATAACCAGACGAGTGCAGTCGCCGCCTCTCGACGTTTCTCGCTCCACCGCTGGTCGTGAGAGATCACTCACCAGTCACTGATTCAGCAGAGATCAGGAAGCGCGGTGTGCCATTGCCGCGTGAGAAGCGGTCTCTCTGAATGCCGCTGTTGCTGGGTGATGGTTCCTGGTCCTGATCACCTCCACTGTGCCAGGCTCGCACGTCGAGAATATCGCGAGAGGCACTGTCCGCCGTTTTTGCTTTCCTCTCTGTGCTTCCCTTCCCTTGCTCCATCTGCCTGTGCCCTCCAGCCAGCGATGTGCGGTCCCTCCTCAACCCAGTCGCCACCGTCGTCTCCCGAGACTACATCCCATCTCCGCACCAGCGGCACCTGCAAGGCCAAGTGAGTGAGGCAGGCAGGCAGAGAGGCAGAGAGGCAGGCAGAGAGAGGGAGATCACACAGTGCAGGTGCAGCAGTGACAGCATAGATCTGTGTGTGCGTGCTGCTTGCCGCACTGTTGGTGTGTGTGACTCTGCTCTGTCAGTTTTGCGTCATCTATGGAATGCGTGACGTCGCCGCTGGATGCCGCGGTTGGGAGGGAGGAGCTCTCAAAGGTGGCCAAGGTGAGAGCACGTCGCAGGCAGAAAGAGGTCTCATATCGCCGTGCTGTTTGTGTGGTGGGGGTGGTTGGTGCAGCTGCCGACGATGAAGGAGATCCACGACGCCATCCCCCCACACTGCAAGCAGAGGTCCGCACTGCGCTCGACGGTAAGCAAGCAGGGAGGGGAGGAGAGCTACCGATTCGCCACTCACTTCAACAATCATTCCATTGCGTGTGTCTCTGTGTGTGTGGGTGTGGCAGCTGCATCTCCTGCGCGACCTGGTGTTGCTCGCCGTCACTGCCTACGTCACCTCCCTCGTTGTCCCACGGCTGTGCGGCTCCAGTGTCATGCTGCAGATCGTCGCATGGACCACCTATGCCGTCATCCAGGGCACGATAGCGACCGGGCCGTGGGTGGTGGGCCACGAGTGCGGCCACGGGGCGTACAGCGAGTCGACGGCCGTCAACGACACGGTGGGGTTCATCGTCCACTCCCTGCTGCTGGTGCCCTACTGGAGCTGGCAGTACTCCCACGCCAAGCACCACAAGTACACCAACCACCTCATCTGGGGCGAGACCCACGTGCCGCCGACGATCGAGGAGAAGTCGCTCCTACTCCAGGCCGCGTACGTCAGCCCACCCAATCCCTCCCTGATCCACTCACCCACACCACACCCACCCACACCCACCCATGTGTTTGTGCGTGTCTGTGTTTGCCTCATTCATTCATTCACGTGACCAGTCACGTTGTGGGCGAGGACGCCTTTGCCATCTGGGAGCTCATCGGCCACCTGGTGTTCGGCTGGCCGGCGTACCTCTTCAACAACGCCACGGGGGGCCGCGTCAACTACCGGGGCGAGCCGCTGAGCAAGAAGGGCGGCCCGGTGGACCACTTCGTCGGCAGCGGGTCGCAGGTGTACCCCCCCTCGTTCCAGTGGAAGGTCAACGCCAGCGCCTGTGGGTGCGCCGCAGTGCTGGCCATGCTCGTCGCCTGGGGGATGGCCACTTCATGGTGAGTCAAGAGGGAGGGACGGGCAAAGGAAATGGCATGAATGGATAGATGTGGATGCATCTCATCTCTCCGTCTGTCTCATGTGGTGTGTGTGTTTGTATTGTGTAGGGTTGAGCCTCTTCGTTGGTATGTGGGTCCCTATCTGGTGGTGAATTTCTGGCTGGTGCTCTACACGTGGCTGCAGCACACACACCCAGGTAAGGTACCCACACGACAGACACGCCCACGCAGGCAGACACCACAGATGGAATGGACAGACAAATAGACAGACAGAGCCCACCCACCCGGTTTGCCTTGCCTTGGCTGCGTGTGGCTTGCTGCAGATGTTCCCCACTACGGGTCTGAGTCGTTCACGTGGCTGCGTGGGGCCCTTTCGACCATCGACCGGCCCTACCCATGGATCGTCGACGAGCTCCACCACCACATCGGCACCACACACGTCCTCCACCACATCAACCACAAGTACACCGCCATGACTAGACAGACACTGAAATGATCCATCCACCACCATATATATGTGTGTGTGTGGTGCCTGTAGGATTCCCCACTACCACGCGCAGGAGGCCACCCAGGCGTTGAAGCAGCTGCTGGGGCCGCTCTACAGGTACGACCCGGTGCCCATCTGGAAGGCCGCCTACGTGGCGGCGAGGGAATGCTCGTACGTGAGCGGCCTGGAGGGCGTGCAGTACTTCCGCCCGCACCTCGAGCGGCCCTCCGAGAAGAATAGAAAGACCGTCGAAGCGGCGCCTGAGCTCAGGTGAGGACAACGCACGCACACGTAGAGAGCGAGGCGCGCAAACAAACAGGAAGAGATGTCTCTGTGCTTTGCCGTGCCTGTGTGTGTGGTGTTTCAGCCACACTCCCGTGATGGGCGGCTGAGTCGCTACACTACATCGTCGACAAATGCATCCATGACATGGGCGTGGCGTACTGCACTCCCCCACTCCCCCACTCACTGTCATGGTCTGCGTGTGTGTATGTGTGTCTGCTTTGCCCGTCTCGTGGCCGTCAATGATTGCGGATCGAGCGTGGTGGCGTGGTGCTGTGCCTGGATGCTCCACTTGCGTCTGCCCTTGCAATCCTCGCGTGTCGATGCGTCGGTGCATTGGCGAGCGAAGGTGGCAGCGGGCTGACCAAAGTGGAGCAGCTGGCACGGCACTGCACGACCACACGCACCTAGGCTAGCTAAATCGGTAGAGAGGGACTCTGGACGGTGGCGCGGCTGAGGCGTCGCCAGAACAGCCCTGACACGAAGCAGGTTTTGGATGGATGGATGGATGGATGGATGGACGGGCGGGCGGTCGGCCGGGCTGGAAGGGGGCCATTTTGGGGTGGGGGTGGCGCTGGGCAGCATGTGGGCATGGGTGGGTGGCATAACATGACATGACATGAGCACCTGGGTTTTTTTATTCTTTACCACCACACCGCATCGCATCGCATCGCACAGGGAGACCTCGCACCCGCTCGTTTGCACACACCTACACCTACACCTACACCTGTCTGTGTGCGTGTCTACCTGCCTGCCTCCTTCGCTCATGCGCGCGTACACACATGCGCTGCGTACATGCATCGCATGTCAAACAATTTTGGCCCTCCATGCTGTCAGCCACTTTTTGACGCGACACCCACTCCTTGGCCGTCTCTGTGTGTGCATGTCCGTCTTCATATTGCTCTATACCTGTCCGTCCGTCTGTCTGTCCGTCCGTCTGTCTGTCTGTATGGCTGGCCTCTGTTACAGAGAGTCGAGATGATCTACAGGGAGTAGAGGAGGTCATAATGCCGCGTCGGTGACGAGCCGCGTTTGGCTCGTCCTCAATTCGGTATCGTCATCTTCTCAACTCCCTAGAGATCACAGTTTGTCTGTGTGTCTGTCTGTGTGTCTGTCTGTGTGTTTGTCTGTCTGTCTGTCCACGAGCAGCAACCACCCAGCCGCTCCAGACCTATTGCTTTGTCTGCCCGCTTCCATATCGTGCGTACGTACTTGCTTACAAACATACTTACACATACGGGCTCCCCTCCTCCCTGCTCTCTTCTCTCTGGATGGATGGATGGATGCATCATCTCAGCGCCATTTTTGATGGCCACAAAAGCGCACGCGAACGGGCCCACACTCACGGCCGCCGGACCTGCTAGAGGACCTGCTTTTGTGGAGACTTCAAAAAACGCTAGAACTGACGCAGACAGGAGTGCACCACTACACGGCGAGGGAAACAAAGGGAGGGCGAGGGCGAGAAAGAGAGAGAGAGAGAGACGGGAGGAGGGGGGAGGGAGCAGTGTATGAGCGAGGGACGGTGTGAGTGCGGGCGTCAGTGTGATGTTTACGGCCCACTGATTGGGCACGGTATGCGTCACGGAGGGGTCTGTGTGTCATGTTGTGTTTCTTGTGTTGTCCGTACAGCGCTCCAAGCACCGAAACGTGACTGACTGACATGGGCGGGCGAGAGGGCGGGAGGGATGCAGTGGATCGACGGAATTAGAGATTGATTGATGCATCTACCATGCGGGCGGGCGGAAAGCAAGTGTCGGTTGATGTTGATTGATGGGTTGGATGGATGGGTTGCCATGCCAGTCAGCTGTTTGTTCGTTCGTCCCCGTAGTTAGCTTTTGGACGCTGTCTGTTTCACGATAACAGAAGAGACACACGGAGGGAGGTAGGCATATGGTAGCATGCTACACAACACACACACGACATGACATGGCATGACATCCCTTTATTTATCGTCGTCAATTCGCGCACATGACATGACATACGCGTCCACCCGTTGCGTTGCTCTCCCGTCGCACCCCCACACGTCTGTCTGAATGAACATGCCGCTGCATCCATGCGCCTGCCCGTCTCTCTGTCCGCAGCTGATATGTTGGGTTGAGAGTAGAATGAAGCCACACTCTGCTCCCAGACCAACAAACCAGAGCACGAACAACGAAACGCGCTACCGCATGCTGATCACACACACATCAGTCCACTAAATGCCATCCACGCAGCAAAGTCGACAACCAACCCCCAACAGCCGTCACCGCCCCTGCGGCTGTCCATTCCCCATCTCCCCCTGCCTCTCCCTCCGTTTGGCGTCGGCCGCCTCCCGCCGTCTCGCCTCAGCCTGCATGTCCTCATCGCTCTCAGCCTTGGTCCGGTCCCTGTACTCGTTGTACGTGTGCAGCACCACCACCAGACCCAGCAACACCCAGAACCCTGGCGAGGTGAAGGACAGCTTCCTGTCGGGCACGAAAGTGTCCCACAGCTTCTCGGACATCCGGGCGCTCTCTGCCAGCCGCTCACGGTGCCGCTGAGCAGCAGCTTCTGCTGTTGTGTCGTCTGGATTTGGTTTTGCTTCGCTTGCTGCTGCTGCTGCTGTCGCTGATGTGGCTGTTGCTGATGCGGGCGTCGGTTGTGCTGGCTGTGGTGCTGCCTCTATCCGTGCAGTGGACAGATGCCGCAATATAGGCGGGTGGGAATGGGAAAGGGAGATGGGGAGGGGCCGATGAGCACATTGAGGAGCGTCTGTCGCCAAGCGTTGCCTGGCCAGGCGAGGTAGCCATCGGAGCCTTCCCGCCATGATGAGGATGATGAGATGGGAACAAGTCGAACAAACCTGACGGGAACAGAATTGGCATGGATGAATGGCAATGAGAGTGTTGCGTGTGGTGTTGGCATCCATACCTTCCAAATCCCCTTCCGCGAGCTCAGCGCTTAGAGCTGGACTTGCACGGGCGCAGATCTACGAGACAACAGAACTGTCTCTGAATGCTCCGATTCGCCTTCCTCACACTTCTACTTGCAACTTGAGCCACGCTGTGATCTCCAACTGTGCGCATTCCATCCATCGGTCCGTCCATCCATCAGCCGTCGGTCGTCATGTCGAGTGTGAGCATCAGCAGCAGTGACCCAGCAACCATCGCCACTGGTACACGCGTTGACCATGAGAAGATGCTGCCCAGCACCGCTGCAGCATTGATCTGCAGCATGTGCCGCCACGCCTGTCGTGTTGTGTTTGGCTGCAGAGATGGTTCGAGGTCTGCCGTACTGTCTGCCGGCCGTCAAGGTCGTCCCCGAGATCAAGGTCGCCGTCAGGGCCGACTATGAGGATCACAAAAAGTCAGTGTATCAGTCAGGCAGCGCACCAGACGACAAGGGAGGGATGAGTGATGTGTGCCCTGTCCGGGGGTGGTGTGCCATGTTGCAGGTCTAAGCGTGTCGCGCTGATCTCGGGGGGCGGATCTGGTCACGAACCGGTCAGCAAAACTCAGATACACGGACGCATCGCATTCAGACAGAGTCGAGCAGCCATCTGCAATTGGATGGACATGGAAGTGGATTTGCCTGTGGGGGTGTGTGCTGTGATGTCAGGCACACGCGGGCTACATCGGCGAGGGCATGCTGACCGGCGCAGTGGCCGGCAACGTCTTCGCATCGCCATCCACATCAGCCGTCCTGCAGGGTACGACCACCGACCGACCGACCGACCGACCAGTGAAGCGCATCCCTCCGTCCCATCTATCTATCTTGGTTGCATCCATCTGTCATTAGGCATATTGACGGTGACGGGCGATGCGGGCTGCCTAGTGATCGTCAAGAACTACACGGGCGACCGGCTCAACTTCGGGCTGGCAGTGCAGCAGGCCAAGTTCCAGTTCGGCAAGAATGTCGACATGGTCATCGTGGGCGATGACGCCGCTCTCAAAAGGTGGGAGGGACCGCACATGGATCTCTCTGTACAGACCCACGTACGTGTCTGTGTGTCTGTGCGTGTGTGTGACTGTGCAGGTCAGCTATGGGTCGTCGCGGCGTCGCAGGCACGGTGCTCGTACACAAGATTGCGGGGGCGGCAGCAGCAAGAGGTGTGCACCTGCACCTGCACCAACACGCACACGCAAACATAGTAGAACACACCATACCATCTCATCGTCTGTGTGTTGTGTTCTGTGTGCCCGCATCTGTCAGGTCACTCTCTGTCTGATGTGAAGCGTGTGGCAGAGGCGGTTACCGACAACATGGCCACGATGGCCGTCAGCTTCTCGCCCGTCCTCGTACGACAACCATACACACAATCACAGCACAGACACACAACACAGAGGATGACACAAATCTGATCCATATGTGTGTGTGTGTGTTTGTGCGTCCAGATTCCTGGCACAGCGATGAGCGACGAGTTCAAGAAGCGGCTGGAGGGACACATGATGGAACTGGTACAGTGCAAGGAGTCTACCTACCCTACCTGCAGGGGTGGATGTGATGTGTCACCTGAATGCTCTTAAGTATGGTGTCATGGCTGCTATGCTATGGCAGGGCATGGGCATCCACGGCGAGCCGGGCGCCAAGAAGGTGGACCGTGCGGCGTGCCCATGTGCGGCGGGCAGCAAGGGCGACCACGTCGACGTCACAAAGATCGCCGAGACGCTGCTACAGGCGGTCTTCAATGACGACAATGACTTCGGGTACCTTTCTCACAGACAGAGGGGGCAGAAGGCGGCGCTGCTCATCAACAGCCTCGGTGAGATCGGATCGTCCTTCTGAGACAAAATTGAAAAAAAAAAGTTGCGACTGACTGTTCTGCGTGGATGCGTCTTTCCAGGTGCGAGCATCCCGATGGAGTTGAGTCTCCTGGCTGGTGTGGCCGTCAAGATCGTCGAGCAGAAGTACCACCTAAAAGTCACACGAACCATCACCGGTCGGTAGGCTGACTGACGTCACACACATTTTATTGTGTGGGATGTGTGTGAGATGGGATCGACTCACCTGTCTGTCTGTCCAGGTCCGCTGATGACCTCTCTCAACATGCCGGGGGCGTCCCTGACCGTCCTGCTGCTCGATGACGAAAGGCAACCACAGCCACACACTCCAGGAGATAGCGAAAACGCCCAGACACCCCTCCACCCATCTGTGTGTGTCTGCCTGTCTATCTATCTGTCTGCAGGGAGTCACTGCTGGACGCCCCCACGACGGCCGGCCTGCCGCCCGTCGTCAAGGTGGACACCTCACAGGCAGTCGAGATGGCCCCACACGAAGAGTACGCCAAGGAAGAGACCGTCGTGTGGGACAAAGACGACGCTAAAACCAAACTACCGGGGTGGGTGAGAGAGCTGTCGGACACAACCAATCCCCAAGCGCAGGGGGCAGGCCAGCTGTGTGTGTGTGTGTGTGATGGTCTTGTGTGTGTTAGGTTGCTGGTCAAGGCGGCGTGCTCGTCGATTGTGTCAGCTGAGCCCGAGATCACCCGTATGGACACGATTTGTGGCGATGGCGACTGCGGGACGGGCCTCAAGAGGGCGGCCGAGTCGGTGCTGCGGCACCTGGAGAAGGAGGACATTCCTCTGCACACACCCGACACTAAGACGGGAGTCAGCGCGCCACTCTTCGCGGTATTGTATGGTGTGGTGGGCAGACAAGCAGGTGGTCCAGACAGGGTGGTCTTGTGTGTGTCAGACGGTGGGGCGGTACATCAACGAAGGGGCGGAGGGCAGCTCGGGTGCGCTTTATAACATTCTTTTCACCGCCACTGCTGCCGCACTCAAGGTGACACACCAACACACACACACACACACGCGTGTGCATCCGTCAATGCATCGATGTATGTGTGTCTTCAGCGATTGGAAGACGAGAAATCGCCTCCCCAGGGCATTCGCGCCATCGGCATGGCTGTCAAGGAGGGAATCGACAAGTGAGCGACCAACGACGGACATACATGCACCCACAGACCGGCAGCTACATGTCTGAAATATCTATGTATGTATGTGTTCGTGTCACCCACGCAGGCTGTGTGAGATTGGTGGCGCGCAGCCGGGCATGCGGACGATGATCGACGCTCTCACGCCAGCATGCGACGCGCTCGCACAGGTGCACGAACACCACACGACACGCCGCGGACGCGACACGTTGTCCGTGCATTGCTTGCACGACGCAGGCGGCTGGGAAGGGGCCCAAGGCTGCTCTTGAGGCGGCGGCAAAGGCAGCACAGGAGGGGGCCGAGGCAACCAAGGTGATCATGACACCCACAGATCAACATATGGCCAGGAGTACGGATGTGTGCGTGTGTTGATTCATGCAGACGATGGATGCCGTCAAGGGCCGCGCGTCGTACATCCCAGCCGAACAAATGAAGGTCCGTCGCTCACCTCACACAGAGGCAGACATTGCAGTGCACCCAACAAGAGTCATGTGTGTGTGTGTGTGTGTGTACGTGTGTGTATGCCTGTGTGTGGTGGATGGCAGGGCACTGCCGACCCTGGTGCCTATGCGGTGTCGGTGTGGTTCAAGGCACTCGCGGACGCATACACAGACTAATGGAGTACACGCACAATGTGTAAATCGATGGATGGATGGGTGTGTCATTTCCCGTCAATGAGTGAGTCAAGTGTGCAGTGATTGATCCGATCCGGGGAGCCCTAGTCGGGCCGGCCCACCACCGTGTTTTCCCGTATGTATGCCTCCCATGGCCTGCCTGGCCCCAGCCCACCCTGATGCGTGGAGCGACTAGACATCTTTTGCCTGGGGCGGTCGGTACGCTACATCTCTCTCTCTTTCTGGCTGAAAGATCATATGTTGTGCAGTTTCTCGATCGCTGGCCGATGGACAGCGCCACTTTCTGTGTGTTGTCCGTCCACTCCCTAATGTGACATGACTTTCTCTATGTGGCTCGCTGCACGCAACCATCGGTGCATCGATCTGCGAGGGACGGGAAACATCGGTCAGTCAATAAGCTTTCACGCGTCTCGTATTCGTAGCGAGAGCACAGGACAGATCTGCTCGTCGCTATAGGTACGAGGGCCACAAGTTACTGACAGGTACGACGGACCCCTAGTTGATCAGTGTACTCGTGTGTGTGCAACGGGACCAACTTGATTCAATTTGTTCGTCACTTTCTCTCTGTGGCCGCAGGGTGATTATCAGTGTGTGTTCGATGCGATTCATGTCGATTCTTGGCCGAATCCCCCACACACCAGCATGATCATGCCCCCGCACACCAGCACCTCTGAAGCAGGCAGGCGACTTGGGAAAAGAAGGGAAAAAAAAACACTCCATATGCATCTCAATGTCATTCATTGAGGAGGGAGGGCGGACAGACAGGCATGACGAGCAAATCCGAACACACCAACTACAAAAAGAGGACGCTCACGCACTCACGCACACATCGCACACAACACGCCCGCCAATCAGGCAGTGTGGCGTCACACACCAGCACACCTCACTCAAGTCAACCAAGCCCAGTACACAACTCTCTCTTCCTCCCTCTCTCTCTCTCTCTCTTTCATTTCTCTTGCCATCTCGCCCACACCATAAAACCCCAGGAGATGGCTTTGCCTCTGCCTCTTTCCCTCCCAGTCACCTGACCCTCAGCGTCGCAGTCAAACATAGGTTTCATGGCCGTGGTGTATCGACTGTACACATATATATGCACGTACACATGTGACTGACTCACCCGTCAGACATTCACGGCCACCAAAAATGGGAGTGACAAATGCAGACAGGCAAGACACACACCACACACACAACACAGACGCGAAGACACTAACGCACACCCACACACACCACATACAGGCACATGGGCAAAGATAGACAGCGAGCACAGCTGAGCGGAGCCAACTCGTTAGACAGTCAGCTACGTGACATGTAGTATTTCAAGCGAGTCGGCCATGAAGTGCAGCGTGCCCCCCAACACCGCATCGCCGTCCTCGTCCACCTCACCCCTATATGCAGGGGGCGTGTCGTCCTTGGGGATGAAGTGCAGCATCGACTGGAGATTCTCGCTCTGATGCACACACGTAACACACACAGACCGACAGACACACTGTGCGTGTGGGTGTGGGTGTGTGCGACTGATTGGCTGTCTTACTTGTTTCGGGTCGTCCCATCCGAAATGGATGTATTCGTCGTGTGTGACGCTGATCTTGGCCTTGCCCCACCACAAAGGCACGCCGCCTTCACGCGACGCCACACGGATGCCCTGAACATCTGTAATACACTCACTCACACACACACACACACACGTCCATATCTGTGCCTGCGCGGTTCCATTTGTGTGTGCAAGGTAGACACGTGGCGGCAATGGAATCTTCGTTGGCTTGTCAAAATGACCTGGTCCACAACCATGCAGCCACAAGCATGCATCCATCAGCCTGGCCTCTGTGTGGTTTGCCCCCACCCCACCCCACCACTCAGTGAGAATAGCCACACGGGGCAGTCATACTCGCGGTACTCTGGAGGGGCGACCTGCGCAGCTGCATCGGCAAACTTTGTGGGCGCTGCAGCCTTTGTGGGCAGCTGCAGCCGGTCGCCCACAAAGCACCCGTGAAGGTACTGGTCCTTCCTTACCACAAACGCCAAACCACCTACATTGTGTCAGGGAGGGAGGAATGGAAGATGTTCTTTCATGTGGACAGATATGCGTCTCTGTGTGTGGTCGACTCGCGTCCTACTGACTTGCGCTCTCGACTTTGGCGAGCATGTCGCCGAATGAATAGCCGTCACGAACCGACCTGACACATGGACAAACATCACGGAGGCGTTTGCATACGAAGCGTCTGTGTGTGTGTGTGTACTTGTAGAGCAGTGCGAGGCTCCTGGTTGGCCCGCCCAGCCAGGTCAGCAGCTGGTCGTACTCAGCCGCTGTCAGATCACTTTCGTTGATCGGCGCCTGAAGTGAGCGAATGAGGCGGGAATGACACCAATGGAAGGAAGCCATCCACGCATTCACGCAATGGATGCCTTACTGCCGGGGGGCTTGGCGGCTCTGCACGCAGAAATGAGGAGAGTGACGTACACACAAGGGTGCACCCGTGCCCACCTGTAGTGCATCTGCCGTCCTCGGCTCGTCTGAAGCCCTCCGCACACACGCACCTAGCAACGCCGTCGCCTTCACCGCTGTGCGGTGTGTGCTGCACCTGCGCACACGCATACAGGTGTGTAGGTATGGATCCATGCAGGTGTTTGTGTGTACACGTACCTCGCATATCTCGTGCGCGTCTTCTGAGCACTCGATAGCGGTGCACAGGCTCTCGCATCTGCCGAATGCACTCACACTGCCGCCGACACAGGTCTCATTCCACTTGCAGAAGGGCTCCAAGTCGCTGCAAAACACGCCTGCACACATGCACGTGCACTGACGTACCCATCTGTGTCCATGTGTGAGTTGTGTGTCTAGGTGCCTGGTTGGCAATCGCCTCCGTCCCATTCACACTCCTCATTGTAGCACTCGAGGTCGCATACAGTGTCCTGCCAATAATTGGCAGGGCACCGGCAGGCCGACGGGATCTCTGCCGATGCGCCGGCCACTGCATCCCATTATGATTCCATATACAACCACGCAAACACACACATGTGCTTGCAGGCCCTGTCTTTCGTACCCACCTTGCAGCCTCCTCCCGTCCCTCCTCTTTGCGCCTGTGGGCGTGACGGCGAAGGCGAGAAAGGCAGCCAGCTCGGGAACAAGCAGCCACATCGATCAGCAATGGATGGATCTTTCCTGCAGAAAGACTGTGATCATCTGCAGTTCGAAGTGCGGGCCCTAAACCCTCTTGGCGTAGGACAGCGTGGAAACCGCTCTCCCTCAAGCCCGCATGTTGCTCCCTCCCCGCTCGCTCCCGTGCACCTGTAGAGAACGACGATGGTGGAGTGGATTCTAGCATTTGTCGCCTTTCTGGGAGGATGGGCATGGTGGTACTTTTTTACTGTCCCTCCGGCGTGCGTCCTTCTTTTCGTCGTGTTTCAATGGGTGCGCTCGAGGACCTGGCGAGATGAGGAGCAGGAGGGGAGGACTCCCGTGCCCACCTTGCCAGCATCGCATGAGGAGAAGCGCGAGGAGCTTATTTCCCGCATCAGCCGCTTGAACGAGAGAATGGAGGACGACCAGGCGCTTATTGGAGCAGCGCAACAGGGCATCAAACAGCTGATGGACTTCATGAAGGCTGACAGGAGGCCGCCAACGTGCCTGTTCGACGCATTTGAGCGGCGGCCCAAGCTTCGGACCATGCAGTAAGTTACATGGATATGACAAAGCTCAGAGACCCCATTTGCTTGTCCGTGCTGCAGCGAAACGGCGCTGGCTCTCACTGAGGTGCACCTTGCGCATGCGGAGTACGAGCTGGCTGAACTCGACAAGGACACAGCACAAGGGTGGGTGTAGCGCCTTTGGGGGAGGGCGTGATGACGCTGGAGCGAAGGGGTCGGTCGGTCACTGACCGATGCTGATGTTGTGGGTTGAGGGTGTTTTTACGTAGCTTTTGTGTAGTCTGCACTGCGAGGGTGCGGGAGGCGAGTGACAGACTGAGAAGGGACTGGTGGTGAATGGGCGGTGAGTGTACAGCCAGGCAGCGGTAGTGTGATGGTTACATAATCCCCTTAAGTGCATGGCAGGGCCAGGGGGCGTAAGATAGGCGTATTATGCCATTCCAAGGCGGACGCATACACAGACTGATGGAGTACACAGACAACGTGTGGATCGATGGATCGATGGATGGATGGGTGTGTCATTTCCCGTGAATGAATGAGTCAAGTGTGCAGTGATTGATCCCATCCGGGGAGCCCTAGTCGGGCCGGCCCACCCAACCATGTTTTCCCGTATGTATGCCTCCCATGGCCTGCCTGGCCCCAGCCCACCCTGATGTGATGCGTGGAGCGACTAGACATCTTTTGCCTGGGGCGGTCGGTACGCTACATCTCTCTCTCTTTCTGGCTGAAAGATCGTATATTGTGCAGTTTCTCGATCGCTGGCTGATGGACAGCGCCACTTTCTGTGTGTTGTTCACTCCCTAATGTGACATGACTCTCTCTATGTGGCTCGCTGCACGCAACCATCGGTGCATCTGCGAGGGAAGGGAAACATCGGTCAGTCAATAAGCTTTCACGCGTCTCGTATTCGTAGCGAGAGCACAGGACAGATCTGCTCGTTGCTATAGGTACGAGGGCCACGAGTTACTGACAGGTACGACGGACCCCTAGTTGATCAGTGTACTCGTGTGTGTGCAACGGGACTAGCTTGATTCAATCTGTTCGTCACTTTCTCTCTCTGGCCGCAAGGTGATCATCTGTGTGTGTTCGATGCGATTCGTGACTCCCGAGAACGTGGATTTACAGCCCGGCGAGAAAAAAGAGACAAGGTTCAAAATCCATTTCCTCTTCTTTGTCATTCCTGTAACCACGGCTGACTACGCATGACCAGCTCACGCCTCTTTCGACCTGCCGCATCCTCATTCTTCCGTGCAGGTAAGATGCCACGGATCGAACTTGTGCGAAGCCCAACACACGCAGTGCACGTTGGACCACCACCACACGCGAATGCATCACCCTGCTCCTGAAATCGACCTCAGCCGGTCGCAGGTGCCGGGTCAGACGGAGCTGCGGCGGGTCAATGCCACACGATGCGTGGCACTCTGGCCTGCGCCAGCTTCCAGAGCTTCAATGGCCGCCAGCTATCGTGCAGGTCCGTCAGGCGCTTAGCCAGTGCAAAATCGCCTTCTTTCCTTCTGTCCTTCCCTTCTTAGGGACGACCTCTCGATGAGCCTTCGATGTGTGCTCAGCCTCCTCAGCACCGACGCGCGCACTGGCTGGGTGCCATACCAGGGCGCGTGGAAGCGGCTCAAGGCAACCTTGGCCAAGTACCCTCCCTCCTGGTGGGAAGACAATGAGGTCACGGACGCCATCGAGCGCTTCGTCCACACCCGCTACGCGATGGAGGCCAGATGGCGCAGGGAGGTCGCCAACATGATGCCCGGTGTGTGTGTGTGTGTGTGTGTGTGTGAGAGAGAGAGAGAGAGAGAGAGAGAGATGTGTGTACATATGAGTGAGGGGATCAATCAACACACATCACGCATGTATTTGCATTTTTGTGCTGGCATGCGCACAGAGTCCATCCATGAGGGGGTCTTTGGTGGGCTGAGGCAGCTGTTCGCTACGGTGGGCAAACTGCCCTTCGGGAAGCTCGAGGCCGCCGTGTACGAAGGCCTTTATCAACACGTAACGGACGGGAGACATACAAATGAGAGAGAGAGAGAGAGAGAGGGCATCCGTGCCATCTCTTCCTGTGTGTATGTGTGCAGGTTGGATGGCTGTGTGGATGCCTGGATATCTTGATGGCCAGCTCCCACACCATTCAACGCATCCAGTGGCATCCCCTTCTTCGCACCACAGCCACACGCCGAGCCCAAACATCAGCCCAGCAGACTCAGCCTGCAAGGCCGCTTTTGCTCGAGACCGCCTATTTGATGGATCTAATTTGGTGGATCGTATTTGTACTGCTTCATTAGCTTGACACGTTTCTGTACGCTGCTTACCGAGTCTGCTGCTCTGTTCGTCCAGGTGTCTTTCTGGTGGGACGGCCTGGGTGTGTTGGTGGTTTTCTCGCTGCCAGCAGCTCTCTTCTCTCTGAGTGATGAACCCGCCTAGTGCACCCACACCCAACCCACAGCAGCAGCCCACACTCAACCTACAGCAGCAGCCGTCCATTAGGGACGAGCATCATCAAGCTTTAAGAGGTGTCCGAAGACATCAAAGCCGCCGCCCGCAATGTAAGCATCACGGCAAACACCACAACGCTGCAGTCTCGATGCATCACTCGATGCCACGCACTGATCGACGAGGCATCCTTTCTACTGACGAGACTAAAAGACAACGCTCTGAGTAGGTGAATAGTGAGAAAGATGCACTCTCTCTCTCTCTGCTGCGATACACATTGCTCTCATGATGGCGTGTGTGTAGAATCAGAAGACCTGACATCGAGAGTGCGGGACAAGACTTGGGGGGGGGGGGGTTTGACATGTGGCTACAGTGCCTGATGTACACTGTCGGGCTGCCTGCGAGACTGTTGTGGACTTTCTTGACCGGCGCCATGGAGGGCGCGCGCCGAGGGACCCCCTGCGAAATGTGCTGGTGTTCTTCTTGATGATGGGGATCGTGATTTATTTGGGCCGAGACTAGTCGTGCCAGCTTTTATCGCGTGTCGAGTGGCTGAATATTATACCCTTTTCACCAACGCCACCAAAGCGAGCGAGATCTTCAACAAGACCGTCTCGTACGTCAACTTCGACTCCAGTCCGAGGGGCATAGCAAACGCGTAAGTTCTTTCGCACATGTAGGCGCCTGCATATACATGGCTGCGCATGCGGGCGTTCTTTGTGTTCAGATTGCGTTTTCCCGGCGACGAGACCACTGACTGCTGGCTCTCTGGGCGCTTCAAGCGGCGAGTCTCCGCCACAGCGGTCCGATACACACCCACCAGCGGCCCACAGCCGTCGCACAAACTCATCGCCGACTACCCAGGACCTGACAACAAGCGGACCTGACAACATGATCAAAGTAACCACACCTGCCTGCCTGCCCGACACACACACAGATGGACTGATCTGATGGATCTCTCTGTGTATGTCATGTGTTGTGTCGGTCAGGTGTTGTGTCCGTCCAACTGCCAGGCCGACGAGGGGCAGTTTGTGTTGGTCTCGGGCGGCCGGTATCGCTGTCTACGTTTTATATCAGTTTGTCTTTGAGATACGGTATGGTTGTACGGGAGATGGGGTGTGTGAGATCGATATCGCTGCCTGTATTTTATTTCGTTGGCCGTGCCTTCTATCGTTCCGCAAGATACACGACACCTGTCTGTTCCGTCAGAGCAAAGACTGTTCCACTCTGTGACACATTATCTATCAATTCTGAATCGATAAATCAGCAGTCGGTCAATATCTCTCTCTATCACCATCCGTCCCATTGCCATTCGCACAGCCACTAGCACCTGACGTCACATTCATGACACGATCTTCATCTTCCGGACACCCAACCATCCCTCCCTCAGACACAGACACACCGCCATAAGGGTACAGCGCCCTGCCAGCGTCTCTCGCAACCGACGGCCCAAAACCAAACACATAATCATGTCTCACATAGGTGCCACTACCTAATCTTCTCCTCGGATGATGGGGGCCGGAGAAGCCATCGCTGTACGGGCCACCGAGGTCCGACACAGATGGGGGCGGGAGAACACCAACAGGCACACGGGGCGGTTGCTTTCGTCTCTTGGGCTTGCGTGGAGGCTGTTTTGTTGGGTCGGGCGTTCCAGCCGTTTCTGGCTTGGGTTGAGGGGGAGTCAGAACAGGACCACTCGGCACAGTGGCTCCACCGCCCACAGAGGGAGGCGACGTGACAAGCTCATCTGTCGGGGCCTTGGTCACATGGACGCTGACATCTGTGGGCGGCTGCTCCTCACTCGGCGTCTTTGGTTTCGGTTCTGGGGGAGTCAGCACTCCGCCCCTCGGCACAGTGGCTTCATCCACAGACGGAGGCGATAGCTCTTCTGTCGGGGCCTTTGGCAAATTGACACTGACGTTTCGCGGTGGTTCTGCGACGGGCAGCGGGGGGAGAGGTAGCTCTGGGGGTGGCTCGAGGATCGTGCTATCGAACGTGTTCTGCCGCATAAAGAGTAAAATGAACTCATCCAGCGTTATGTAGCCTGCACACACACATACACACGGATGAATCCATGAACGGCGCATTCGTTATGTGTGTGTGTCTCCTCACTTTGCCCCTGGGCCAGCTGCGAGAAGAGCAGCCTGATCCGCTCACACTTGTCAGCGCTACGATGCATAGTGAGGATGTCCATGAGGTCTTGCCTGAATGAGAGTGTCTCTGTGACGCCGACGAGGTACTCAAAACCCGATATGAACAGATACAGGGGCAGCCTCCCCCCAGCCACCAGCTGTTCGTCCCCTGTGGGAAAACACGCCATGTGTCCGTTCGGTTATTGCTGGCTGGCCACTTGCCTGTGGTGATATGTTCGGGCTGTGCCTCGCACTGGTCGGCAGTGTGGGCGTGGAAGGACCGGTCGAACATCTGGTGGAATATAATCTCTGTGTCGCACCAGATGAGACATCACCCTCAAACACCAAAAGGCTGTCTTCATTTCTGACTCACCGACAATCTCTCGTCGAAACTCCTCGTGAAAGCGGTTGACCAATTCGTCTGCCGGCATTCATCACATACCACACAGACACACATGTGTGGATGTCTCACCAGTGGTTCGTCACTTACCTCTTTCGAGGAAGTCCAGGATGTGTCTCACCCAAGCCTCCCACTCGGCGTACTGTCTGCCGAGCTGCTCCATGCCGGGGAAGGAGACGGCGTTTGTGGTGATGAGCTGATATTGCGTGTAGAACTGCTCGGCGGCCTCCGAGTACCTCTGCTTGAATGACGCCCAACCGCTGACCACTGCACACAGCAAAGAGACAGGAACACACAGATTTGTGCATGGGGCGAGAGTATGGCTGCCACAAAGTCCATACCACTTTCATAGTCGAAGACGATCTGCACCGACAGGTGCTGTATTCTTCTGAGAACAAGTGTAGCCACTCTCTCGTAGTTTCTGTCGGTCTCAGACTGCTCGATCTCCTCCTGCTCACTGTCATCTACACACACAGATACTTGCCTACATGCAAATTCTGAGTGTGCGTCTGTGTGAGCGCGTCTACCTTGTTGTGTCTCCGGGCTTGATGGCGTCGTGTCGCTGCATTTCGGGAATTCATCACAGAAGGCCACCTGCATGGCACACATACGTACCCACGTGAATCAAGAACACGTAGGCAGGTCTGTGCGTGTTTTCATGCCTTATCAGGATCGCTCCTAAATGCTGGCTTCAGCTCTTTGCACGCGTCGCACACGGCGAATCCCTCCTGTGTGATGATCGTGGTCAGGGTGTGTATGGTGGCGTCAGAATAGTAAGCGGCAAAGGCCTGCTTCATCCACAGGAGGCTCAATGTAAAGAGGCGATACAGCAGCACTGTACACAGACATTGGGGCGAGTTGAGATCGGCACATGAGCTAGCTGCCCAGCATCTTTCCACCTCTCATTTCGACGAATGTGCCTGTGGACTCGAGCAAGTGGCCCCAGTACCAAAATATCAAGTCTACGGAAAATACACAGTCACACCCATCCAAGCACGGACACGTCTCTCTCACGTCGTGCCCACCTTTCATCTTATTCACGATCATCCTGACGATCGACGACACATCCACACCACCGCTCTCCTCTGCCACGGCCACTTTGAAGCGCTCCCCTTCCTCCGCAGCGAAGGCCCCCGCCACTTCTTTCTCGCGCCACCTGTCGTATCCCTCCATCAGATGATGGCCGTAAAGCGATATGGAGTGGAGGTAGACTCGCTTTGTGTCCAGGGCGTTCTGCACATTCTCCAGTCGGGGGAAGTTGGCAGGCACGGGCGAAAGGATCCAGCCGGTGATGTCGTGCAGCCACTGCCACTGTTTTTGATCACCAATGACGCTTTTCAGGTCTGCAAGGGCGACACTGCTGATGCTGTATGTGTGTGCCTCTTGTGCCTCGGTGTGGATGAATACCAGGTCTAAGGCGGAGGGCGAAAAGCTCAACAACAAGGATCAGCTCAAAGCAGAATCTCTCAAGGAGGGACCTCCGGACGGACTCTCCTTGTTGCCTGCCATCGGTCGTGATCTTATAGAGCTCATCTGCATAAAGGCAACGACAGAGACATCAGCACTCGTGGTGCTTCATTCCTTCCGGTACACACACGCATCATACCATAGAACGACCACTCATCAATGCGTCGGAACTGCTCCAGAGTGATCTCCCCACCATCACCTCCAACCAGCTGACGGAAGAGCGTCCGCTTTCTCTCAATGTGCACATCAGGAGCATCGCCCCCAGCCCACCCAAGCCAGCTGAAGACGCCATCGGCCTCGCACTCCATCAGCCAGCGTTCCACCAGCCACGCCAGCTCGAGTATCAGCGTCCACCAGAGAGGCAGGGCGCCCATTTCCTGTGGGCGGAGAGGCTGCATGTGTCCACTGTCGACGGGCCGCCATAGCTTGATAATAGCGGTGTAGTCGCCGAGGTGCGTGAGCGTCTCCTCTCGCCAGATGAACAGAAGGTTCAGGCGTCTTCGGAACTCATCGAAGGTCATCTTGCCTGGAGACACGATAAGAATGTGTGCACTGTAGCTGTGAGTCAGGTCAGATCGGCCGCGCTTGCCTTCTTGTGTCAGCAATGTATCGCTCAGCACGAAGACAAACCCTGCATACACAGGAAGATAGCATTTGTCTGTCTATGTGCCGAACGCTCACTTCGGGCCCACAGGAGTCTGAACACCTTGCACCGGAATGCATCGCGGCCTGATCAATTGTTCCATGAGTGGTGTTTGTCGCGCAGCCAGCGTCACTCACCCGTGCCGTCGTATTCGCTCAGCTCGGAGAAGTCCTTTCGCAACGCCGACTCAAGCTGACATAGCTGTTCCACGACATCTTTGAGTCCCGCGGCCTCGTCAGCAGTCTTCGGGCTGTTGCTTCTCAGGGCGAAATAGCTATCGATGACGGCATCGGCAGACATGGTGCCGCACACACCTTGACGGGGCTCTTTCAGCGCCTTGCTTGTGTCTTTGCAAGGGTCGAGCAGCATGTTTGCGACAAAACGATAGAAGTGAGAAATATCTGCATCCATGCGACAAATGGCATGGCAGCAATGGTGCGTGTGTATGTGTATGGGGATTTGGTGCTTGCGTGTTTACTTACCGAATGGTCTCGTTTCCTGGCTCTGCAGAGGTCCTGTGTCTGATTCCTTCTCTCCCGCATCCTCTATTCCGTCGTAGAGGTTTAGCTTCACGAACGTCCTTTTGTCGAGCACCGCTAGCTGAGACATGTGATTGAACTCGTTCAGGCTCTTCGTGTCTGTAGGCTCCTCGCCTTCGGCCTCTGCCCCAGTAAAGAGATTCATCGGCATGCAGTGTGTGGTCGTACACGTGTGTTGCTGTTTTGCCTACTTGATATAAGCCTCAGCACACGTCTGAGAGGTGACGTCTCCCTCCACGACGAGGAGCTGCGATCGGGTCCTAACAAGCGAATTCGCCTGTACTCTTTTATCTTTCTAAGATGTGTCTCGGACAAATCCTGCATGCATCAGAGAAAGGACTGCATATAGAAGGAAGACTTGGGTATTTTGTACGCTTTCTCACATCTTCCGGCACCAGCAGGATTTCGCAGTTTGGCGAAAGCCACCAATCAACCAGGATGAGAGCATCCTTGAACGCTCTGCTTGGAGACACCCGTGTGAGGATGTGACTCTCTGTCTCTGTTGTCTCCCTGTCCTACCTCAGCTCGATGCCTTTGTCTACACACATGTATGCGACATGACACAGACAGTACAGCACCGCATCGGCATGGCAGGCACAGATGCAATAGCTTCCTACTTTTCAGTTTTTGCAGCTGCCTTTCATCCGTTGGTGCCGTCGGCTTAAGGTAATAGAGCAGCTCTGCCGATGAGAACACAAGTACATAGGCAGGTGACCGTGTGCGCACGTTTTCTGCTGTCTGTTGTCTGATCTGACCGAAAAGCCATTTTCTGATAGTGGATGTCTTAAGGTACGACCCCACGACCTCCCATGGCCGCCGGTCTGCAAGCGTCATGCGACACCGGTCCTCATGGCATGACGCGTCCTCCTCAACTGATGGATGTATGGAAGATACTCACTCATTCTCACACCCATCCACTATTCCCTCGTCATTTGAACTGTACCGAGTGTGTTCTGCCACCAGAATCGAACCCGGTCGGTCAGCTCGCCAAATCGCTGTTTGAAATTCTCCCGCTCCTACAGGCACGCCAAGACCTCTCTGGTCGGTTTCTGGATTGGCCTGTTGCCGGCAGTTCGTGCGAGTTCCCTACCTTGTGTTTCGCATCGGGCGGTGGGAATTGTAAAGCGAAGTAGGGCATGAGTTTCTCAGATATGAACAGCTCAATAGCCTTCTGAGGATCCACCGCGCCTGAGTGAGACAGACAGTGACAAGAGACACACAAGGCACACACTCATCGATAGGATGGATGCTCGTGCCGTGCACTGACTGACTGAATTGGGGGTTGAAAACGATATATTCAAGGAACAGGAAGGTCTGGAAGAGAATGAGCATCTCAGCAGATTTTCGCAACACCTCTGACACGCGGAGGCAACAGGACAAGTGATTGATCTTCTCCCTCCCTGTGTGCTGGGTTGCCTGCCTACCATATTCCGCCCATGTCCAATGGCCCAAGGCGGTCTGCTTAATGAACCAGAGAGGGAATGAGGCAGTGTCGCGATTGATGCAGACACCGTTCCACCGGCCTGCAACGGCAACAACGGACAAACGCATATATGTGTCGGCTCATGACAAAGGCAGAATGGTGTCTCACTGACAGAAGATCCGCGGGCGATCGCGGGATATCGTGAAGCCAAAACCGCCTCTCGTCTCCGCTTGCTCTTCGCCCCCCTTCTGCGTGTCCTGACACATGACCTTGTTGTCAAAGTAGCAGCAGCACTTGCCCATCGCTCCACGGCCACCCGAGAGGCCCCCGCTGGTCGTGGCCCGGCATGCCACATCATTGGTGCACGACGGCCCTTCCCGGAGGATGAAGACGTCATGGCTAGGAAAATCTGAACACAGACATACGAGCAATCCGTGTGTGTATTTGGGTCTGAGTACTTCACTCACTGTATTTGGGTCTGAGTACTTCACTCACTTGGCGGTGGAGGCCACTCTGCTTTCAGAGACGTGACCGGCGACCGCAGCGGAGGGAAGAAGTCAGGAGGAACAACGTCGCTCTTTAACCTGGGCCTGCCCGCCAGCTCGGCCGCATACCCACAAACAGGGGGAGAGACGTGATATGTGTCTGTGTGACAAATGAAGAGGACCTCACCTGGCTTGCGAGGTAGCCCCTGCGAGCATATCCCTGCCTCATTGCACCAGCAATAATGGCCGGGTCTCCGGGGCACCATGCCGCAGGGATGGTTGGGCTCCAGCGGGTAAAAGGAGTCTGAACCCGTCATATATTTGCCCTGCCGTCTTTAGAATCAGCGACAGAATGCTCAATTCACCGATGTGCAGCTGGGGTTTTATCTTGTCTTCAGCGTCTGCTGATATTGGCAGCGTGCCATAGTGATAGTGTTCACACCTGACCCCATTCATGTCCACGTCACCGCTTTCAAGCTCGAAATCTGATGACATCATGATCATGACGGACAGGCAGACATGGACGCAGAAACACGTGCCTTCACAAACCTGGGTTCCAGACATCTTGGCACCCTTCCTCCGTTGCGCAGTGCTGCCTCTTGGTTAACACATGTGCACCGCGCTTTAATGTACCCCAGCGTAGTGGCCAGACACAGCCCCTCGAGTGACTGCGCCCAACATATCGATGCGCAGACGGCGGAAGACGACGAGACAATACGACAAAGCGGCCACCTGCAGAAAAGGATCAATGGAGGGTGTCGCACTGTGCGGGTTTATGGTGCTTACGTCGTTTGTTGAGGGCCACATATTGGCGATGACGCCGCAGTGAGCCGCCATACGAGGGTGTGGCGAGAGAGAGCGACGTGTTGGCGAACAGACCAGCAACACCTGTGGAGCAGACAGAAGACAATGAAAAGTCTTTGCTCTGGGCGTGTGTTGTGCGTATGCTGAATGCGCCTCTTACAATGGAGGCAGGCGAGGGGAAACAACAGGCAGGGATTCCTCTTTCCCATTGCTCTGCCTGGGGAAAGTGGATCTTGCTTGGCGAGCATTCAAGAAGTTCGGCCTGAAGAGGGGAAACATGCAAGTTGGGGGCGGCCCCCAGGTCCCCCGACGTCTCACCCCCCGTCTCCATCAAAAAGCGGAAACCATCGATGAAAGTCGTGTTGGTGTTGCTCTCCCTCCTGTGCGGCGGCTGTGTCAAAGGTAGAAACACGGAGACTCCATGCGTGCCGTCATTGCATTCAGATGGCGGTGCATTCCAGTCGAAACAGCATCGGAGCCATCTGAATGCACCTCCAGGTCAGAGCGTGCAGCACCTGCTCAGTCTCCGCCTCACAAGCCTTGTTCGTTGTTTTGCAGTGAATTTCGGCCCCTGCACTGTCGAGTTCGTCAAGACGAGCGAGCCGATGGTCACGCACCACAACCAGAGCACCTTCCAGCGGCACCACTTCCACCCCACCAAGGTGGCGCGCCCTGTTTGGAAGGCCGCTACACGTGTGTGGTGGCGGAGGTCATGGTGCGTGCCGATTGGGAGACCGCCGACGGGTTTGGCGACTGCGTGAAGGAGCCTACTCCCGTCGAGAAGCGATACGTCATGCCGGCGGGGCTTGGTGGTGACATGAGGCAGGACAAATTGGAGAAGGCCCGAGGGTTGATGTGCTACACGCCATCCGAGATGAAGGCCGGTGATGGAAACGCCATGTGTATGGCGCCCAACACGGTCAAGTGAAGAGACACGACAGACAGGTCTGTTCTCTCCCGAGTGCATGGAGCGCGCCTGTGTGGGTTGCTTTTGCTGCAGGTGCCCTCTTCGGTGCTTCACGATGACGAGTTGCGTGAGGCGATGCCTGGCTACACCTTCACACGGGCCGTCATGCTGATGAAAGCCACGAGCGGCAATGACGAGATTCAGTGGACATTCCCGGGAGGGCTCTACTACAGCGAAAGTACGCGTGTTTGTGGCAATAGCGATACAAACACACAGCCACGCACACAAGATCGACTGTGATTTCCTTGTCTCTTTCCATGGGTGTCCACCTATCAGCGCCCAGGTCTCCTGGCGTGTCCGCCATCCAGCAGGGCTTGCAGACGGCTGTGGACACCTCAAGTGAGCGACACACAGGTCAGGAGAGCTTCTCCCTGTCAAATGGTCATTGCTCTTCGCCATCGATATGACAGCACTCTCCCGCGACGGCCAGCCATGCCACATTACGCTTGCCGTACGTGAGCTGCAGAAAGAGCCGAGCAATTACGTGGCCGGCTACACCACGTTCTTCTACGACTTCGACGTGACGGTGCCATTGACGGCCGTCGACGACGGCTGCTCTGCTGACGAGACATGCGTCGTATCATCTGGCTTGGTCGAGGCCAGCCGCGGTGCTGAGCTCGTCGAGGGGCAGTACAAGGCGACCGGCCAGGGGAAGTGCATCGTCGAGGAACCCAGCAAGCGCAAAGACCTGTACACGTGGCACTACGACGAGGAGCGGTACCAGGACAAACGGCAGAAGACATGCAGCCGGTCCACCGTGAGGCGCCTCGAGCCAACCAACCAACGCTACTGCTGGGCCCCCATGACGGTCGGGCAGGGGAGGGATCTCTGTCTCTCTTGGTGTCTATGTCCCTGTCTGTCTGTCTGTCTGTCTGTCTGCAGAAGGTGCGGTTGGTGTTGCCTGGTGAGCCCAAGACGGACTCCATGGTCCTAAAAGCCTTCTACAAGGACGACTCCGCGAGAAGGCTTTACCACTACAAATTTCCCGGCGAGAAACAACCCAAATGAGCTAGCTGTTCCTCTCCTGTCCTCCTTGTCTGTCCTCCCGGCGAGTTGTTTGTTCTGCGTTGACAATGGACTGACTGACGGATGCATTGAAGACGGGAGAGTCCACGAAACGAGCCAGTCTCCTAGAACTACATACACACAGACCTGGGATGGACCACACGGGCCGGCAAGGGAATGAGAAAAAAAGGATGGCACATGAACCCGACAAACTTCTGCTTTCGCTTCTTCGCGTTCTCTTCATTTTCAGACAGACAGACAGACAGACAGCTGGGGGCCAACAAATACGACTGTCTGTCCACACACACACATGTGCACCCACACACACACTCACGCGTGAACGAACGAATGGATCGGTGGGCGCGACGAGAGAGAGCAGACACAGACAGACAGACAGACAAACACCCACCCACACGCAGCCCAGAGGTAGATTAGCCGGCGAGCAATCACCCCACCCCACCCCGCCACCCGGCCCCCTACGAAATGCGCCGACAGTCTGATCGGTACGTATCCGCGCCCACCAACTACATAGCTTAAGCTGCGTGCTCTCTCTGTCTCTCTCCTCTACTGCTTTGAGGCACACACGGCAACCTAGCTCGTGAAGTTCTCATCGTCATTGTCTTCATCTGCTTCGTCAGCAGGCACAACGTCATGCTGAACCGAGTCGCCCGCCACGGCCGCCACGCGCACGGCCATGCTTCGGTGGGCACTCATTGGGGAGTGGGGGGCCGGGGAGGGCGCCGATGAACGGCGCGGGGGAGGGGGCGGCCGGACGGCTGACACTGGTGGGACCGCATCGACGGAGTGCCGCATCCTGGCCCTGTTGACGGTGGGTATGTCCTCTGCGTGGGTGTGGGTGTGGGGTTGGGGATGGGGTGGGGGAAAGCCGTTCTGCTCTCGTCTGTGCTCTCTGCTGGACCGTCTCGGTCTGTTGATGGGGGGCCCCTCGTCGCTTGGGAATGGCGGACCGTGTGTGAGCCTGGTCGGTGGCGCCTCGGCTGGCGAGAGGTGTTGCTGGTACTGGGGCTTGTGTGTGCCGTCATTGATGGGCGGCATAGATGGCCGTCGGTCGACATGGGGCATGGAGGTGAAGATGGCGGACGAGATGGCGGGCAAGACGTCGCTCATGACGTCGCCGCCACTGCCTTGCCGGGTCGCCGGAATGCCCGTCAGGTGACTCATCTACACCACAGCACACAGGCAGATAGAGATGGACAGGACAAGGACACACACGCAGGGACGCGTGTGGTCGTTGCAGGGCGGGAGGTGTGTTACCGACCGAGGTGGACGCTTGGCTGCCTCTCCTTCTGGGCCAGGTGGACACTTGGCTGCCTCTCCTTCTGGCGGCTTTCTCCCTGGCCTCCCGTCTGTGTTGGCTCCGCACCTTGTCGATGGCCGACATGAGCTTGGTGTGCGTCTTGCTGTCGCTGCTCGGCGCGAAGTGGGTCGTCGTGTCCTCAGAATCCGTCAGCAGATACGACTGCACCTGCACCTTCTCCACCACCTGGTGAGTCAGTCGGACACCACACACACGCATGGCATGTCAGCGGGCATGTGGTGTGGGAGAGCGATCGGTTGGGGGCTTGGCTTACCGTGACGAGCTTGTGTTGCTTGAAGGTGAATCTGTCTTTGCAGTGTTCGGAGAGGTAGGCCTTGAGAGTGTGAGACACGCAGATCTTGCCGGGCTCGCCGTTGCTCTCCATCATGTTGCCCGTCAACACGTCCAAACCCCATATGTCATACCGCAACTGATGGATGGGTGGATGAATGGATTGACAGACACGAACACAGTTGCCACCACACAACATGCATGGGGCAGGCTGCTGTGCTGTGCCAGCTGGCCACGGCTGCCCACCTCACCTTCTTGGTGCCGATGATGCCGCCCACGAAGTACCCCAGGTGCGACCCAATGCGCATGTTGAGATCGGGAATCTGACAAAGAGATCGATCAGCAACGAACAAACGGCCACATTCCATTCACGCCCACACACACACGCATGGGGAGCCCGCTGAAGGTCGTGTGGCGGTTGGGGTGGATACCTACCCACCTACCTTGAGCTTTTCGCGGACGTCCTGTATGTGTCGGATCATCTTGTGGGCCATCCTCAGCACCTTCAACGCACCTGATACACAAACAAACACATCAATCGACCGACACACGACCCGCCCCGCCCCGTGTGTGTGTGACGTCTGACGGTTCTTCAGTACAAAACTCACCGCCGAGGACGTCGTGGTCCTGGGCCTTGACGGGCTCGGACACCGCCACATAGGCATCGCCGATGGTGCACACCTGAGAAGGATGGGCATTCGTGGCTGGTGCCTTGGGTGGTGTGTGTTGCTTGGCGGCGGCCCACCTTGTAGAGCTTGGTCTCTCGTGTGATGTCGTCAAAGCGGTCAAACAGCTGCAGCAGCAGCTCCACCACCTGTCGGCCGACACACACACACACACGCAGAGAGAGAGAAAGAGAGGGATGTCCAGTCAGTCCATATATCGGCCGGCCGGCCGCCCACCGTACCGCACTTACCCGTTCTGGCGGCACTGTCTTTGCGTAAGAGGTGAAGCCGCATATGTCGGCGAACAGGAAGGTCATCTGGTCGTAGCCATGGGCCAGCTGCAGGCTGTCGACCTTCATCTCTGCCAACACCTACCCACATATACCCACACACAAACACACACAAAGCCACAGAGAGGGAGCACACATGACGTGGCCCTATGGCTGTGGTGTGGTGTGTGTGGTGGGGGTAGGCACTTCACTGACTTGTGGGGGCAGCATGTCCTGCAGCAGGAGGTTGGCCCGCTGCTCCACCTCATTGGCCTCCTCGTTCAACACAAAAGTCACACGCTGGAAATACTCCTACTCCATCCACACACCACGCAGAGCAGACACTCACATGATTGCGGGATCCCCCTCTCTCTCTCTCTCTCTGTCTCTGTGCGTCTCTCTGTGGTCACTTTGAAGTAGACGGAGGCGCCGATGAGAAACATGAAGGCGACGACCATGAGGATGGGCTCGATGGCCTTGACGGCCTCGCACGCTATTGCCTTGCTGAGGATACACTGACACGCCACCTCCTTGCCCAAATCGCACGCACACTGCGGTGCGTCCTCCGACACCAGCGGCATCAGATTGCGCAAACTGGCCGCCAACACACACACACACACACACACACACATGAATGGATGGATGGGTGTGTGTCTGTCTGTCTTTCTGAGTGTGCTGCGGGGCGTCGCAGACTTGATGTGGAGTGCGTATGCGCTGTAGACGACGACGATGGCCAAGTTGAAGGGTATGAGACGGTGGAAGAGCATCTGGCTGTTGAAGTTGAGGATGGCCTGCCAGAAGAAGAGGTCGATGGTGTTGACGAACAAACCGCTCTTGTGACACAAACTCGGCGGAATCGGGCCCGCATAAATCCACCCTACACGCGCACAGCACACACTTGGCTGGCTTGTGGTTGCGCTGTGCAGTAAATTGGCTGGCTGACCTGGTTGAAAGGTGGAGATGAGGGCGCCCGTGAAGTACCCAAACGTGGCGGCGTAGATGAGCCTGACGGAGTTGCGGCCCGTCAGCGCCCCCTGCCAAATGGGGCTCTCCCGGTTGCGCAGCGTCAGCCACAGGCTCAGGAAGATCACGATGAGGGTCGAGCGGCCCAGCAAGAGCATCGAGTAGTCAATCTGACGAAAAGAGAAGCTGGGTGAGGCTGAGTGAGGTCTGCACGTGTGTGGTGTGGTGTGGTCCACACGTCACTCACCTGTCTGTCGTATGTGGGTTCGCACTCTTGTTTGTCCGTGTCCGCGAGGGCCATGTGTGGCTGGGGGATGAACCGCAGCTCGAGGGTTTGCAGCAGGTAGGCCACGATCCAGATGCGCAGGGCCCGCTCCATGTTGATGAAGACGTACTTGTTGAACAAGATCTGCACCACACACACACACACACACTGCCCCTCTGTCTGCCCCTCCGTCTGTCTGTCTGTCTGTCTCCCTCCCTCCCTCCCTCCCTCACAGACATACCGAGTCGAGGTATCTCATTTCTCTGTCCTTCTGGTGGAAGACGAGGAACCAGCTGAGCTCCTTCCTGTCCAGCATGAACCTGCCCTCCTCGCCCGCGTCGAGCGCACCGCTCGTGTCGGCCGGCAGCCCCTTGACCGTCTTGCTGCTCCGCCGCCGCCGATCCTCACCGCCACCACCACTGGCCCCCGGCTGCTGCCCCCCTGGCGGATTAGTGTAGGTGATGGCTGGTGGTGCGGGGGCGGTGCTGGTGTTGGGGGTCATTGACGTGTCGCGTGTTTCCTCGACGTTGTCGGCTGACTTCATCATTTTGAGGAGATTTTTCTGCAGGGCGTTGGCCTTCTCGGGGATGGCACTGTCGAGCGCCACGCCGCCCTATCAGACCAGAAGAGACACACACAGATCCGACACACACACACACGTGGGGAGGAATGGGATGTGTGGGTGCATGAGGCAGGCGTGTAGGTACCTACCTGTTGCGCTTGGCTGAGTGACCCCTTTGCCATCCGCGTCTGGCCAGGCAGGCCCCGCATCACCGCACCAAGACTGGCATCAAGGGCATCCACACACACAGAGACGGGAGAGAGTGGGGTGACTGCACTGCACTGCATGGCTGTGCTGTGTGAGTATTCTGGGTGGGTGGCTTCGGTCGGGCAATTCACTTACAGATGTTCTTGGTCGTAGTCGACGAGCAGGTATGTGTCCATGATGCCCTTGCCCTTGACCTGCGTCTTGCGTGGCTCCCACACAAAGTGGCTGTTGTCCTGTCAGGCAGGACACACACAACACAATGCACAACACAGCACAGCGTGAGGCAGCCAGCAAGACAGCCAGCCAGTGTGTGTGGGGTGGGGTGTTGTGTCTGGTGACCTGGACCAGCGCGTAAGTGGCGTCCGATATGTGGACGTGCTGCGGCTCCCCGGTGGACTTCATCCGGGAGGCTGTGTTGACCTGCGCCACACACACACACACACACATCAACACATCAACAGTCAGCAGGTTCTCTCTCTCTCTCTATCTCGCCCTTGTTTGTGTGTGTGTCTACCGTGTCGCCGAAGAGGGCGTATTGCGGTTTCCTCGACCCGACCACACCCGATATGACCCTCCCAGTGTGGATGCCGATCTTGACCTGCATACAAAAGAAAGACAGAGGCAACATACATACACACACACATCCGTAAGGTTCGCAGACCGACCTGCAGCGGCCTTCGCTCGGTGGTGGCCCCGTCCCCCCCCTGTGTCTGCTTCTTGAGGTCCACGAGCATCTTGCTGGTCGAGTCAAGCATCGCAATGGCCAGCTTCAGTGCAGACACCGCGTCCCGTGCCGCCTCCTCGCTGGTCACGCTCTCGCCCCCCTCCTCTGTGTTGAGCCCCGCTGCGGCGAGGTAGGTCTCGCTGACCGTCTCGATCTTGGCGACGCGGAACCGGTCGCTGAGTCGGTCGAAGTGGGTGAAGAGGCGGTCGAGGATGGTGACGAGTGTGATGGGCTCGACGGCGGCCACGATGCTGATGAAGTCGTAGATGTCGCAGAAGACCACACTGACGGCCTGCCACTCCTGCGCGACATTCTTGCGTTCATTCTTCCAGTCGCCCTTGGTGTGCACTATCTGCAGCAGCAGACCACCAGACAGACAACCACAGCCATACACACAGCCCCCCTCCTCACACACACACACCCCGACCACAGCACCTCACCTTGTCCACAACGAAAGATGGCAACATGTTGTTGAGGATGTCCTTCTGCCGCCTCCTCTCCCTCGCGAATTGCTGGTCAAGGAGGAACTCTGACCGCTGGTAGTACTCGAGTCGGTAGCCGACGAATGCGGTGAAGAAGGTGATGCCGAAGAGCACCGGCCAGTAGTCGCACATGGTGTAGAGGTTCCGCCGGAACATGACCATCTTGGGCAGGTCCTGGCTGTGGGTCGGCACCTCCACATCGAAGATCCACGCACCCGCCGTGTACCTGACACACACCAGACAGACAGACAGACACAGTGTCCCTCTCTCTGCGTGGGAGGGAGTGTGTGGGAGTGTGTGTGGTGCAGATGTGGGGGAGTGGGGTGAGGTGAGCGCATTGCACCTGACGGAGAAGAGAAAGAGGTGCAGCGCGTTGATCCAGACGGCGTGTTTGAATGGGATGCGGAACACGACGAATGTGCCGATAGGGTACATGGCCGCAAACTGCACGCCGTCCGTGCGCTGCACCGCATCCATAAACATCTGCTCGTCGATTGGATTGGATTGGATTGGGGTGGGGCCAACCAACACACAACACACAGAGGAGAGGGAGGGAGGGAGGGAGATAGGGATGGATAAGGGAGGGAGGGCTGCCTGGCCTGTGCGGCTGCTCCTTGTGCGTGGACTGTCGGTTACCTTGACGAAGTCCGCCACGACGACCACGGCAACCATCACGTGAGCACAATAACGCTGCACCACACACACACAAACACACACACACATACACAACAATCCACAAAGTTGACGCCCCCCCCTGTGTGTGTGTGTGTATGTGTGTGTGTGTGTGTGCCCCCCAGTCAGTCGCTGTGTGTGCCCCCACCTGACCTGCATGAATCTGCTGAAGGTCAGGGAGTAGGCGGCCGGCCCCAGCAGCGGCACGAACAGCAGCCACACACGCCCCAGCGACAGGACGTCCTGCGAATCGTCGCCGTGCGACTCGTCGTAGTCCTCCCCAAGCCGCACTCTCGTTTTTCCCTGATTCCCTGCTTGTAGCGTGCCGTTTGCTGTCAGCAGCCTCCGGTCGTCCGAGTGGCAGTCGTCGAAGTCCTGCTCGCCCTCCTCGTAGAAGTAGATGAAGTGCAGCAGCGCGTAGATGAGAATGACGGCGGAGATGATGAGCACCGACAGCCGCAGGGCCCGCAGACAGGAGAGCGTGTTTTGGTACTGGAACCTGCGCTCGGTGTGCTGGTCGTGGAAGGTCAGCCAGAAGATGGACAGCTTGCTGTCGACGTAGGAGGCGGGGTTCTTGGGGTCCTCGCTGTCGAGCGACGGGCGGTCGGGCCGCTTGTGGTGGTCCTTCATGACGATCCGCCGGTATATGTTGCGGTGCGGATTGGCGTCCACCTCGGCCCGATAGCACACTTCCTCCAGCGTGGCCTCGTCGTCGACGTAGTGGCCCCGACTCCGGAACAGCCATGTGTCAAGCAGATCCACCGGGCTCCTACACAGACACACACACACGAAGCCATCCACTGCTCTGCATGCCTCCACTCCACTCCACTCCACTGCACTCACGGGAAGAGATATCGCCGCACGTAGTAGGTGGCGAAGTCGATGAGGAAGCAGGTGCCACACGAGAGGATGGCGGCGAACCAGAAGGTGCTCGAGCCGAAGACCGCCTCGGCCATGCCGCCCATCTGCGGCTCGGGCCAGCCGATGGCGGCGTAGACGGCGAGGAATGGGAAGAAGAACACCACCGATATGACCGTCACGACCGTGAAGAGCCACGTCCAGTGCCGTGTTTCGAAGGCCAGCTTCACCGTCACTATGACGATCGTCGTGAAGAACGAGATCGTACCTGCACACAACAGATCAGATCAGACTCATGAGCGTGTCACGGTGAGGGCGGGCTGTCCCATTCCAGCGCAACCACCACACCCATAGCGTAGTAGTCAGCTGGTTGTCCGCTGGCGTCGATTGCGTAGGCATCCCGGCGGAATGCCATCCACATGACCACCGAGTTGATGAAGCCGTACAGCACACCGCGCAACGCCCACTCAGTGAAGATGCGCGCATTGAACGACAAACGATGCTGACCCTGACACACCACATCAACATCAGCACACACAAGGAGAGAGAGAGGGGCAGGGACGAAGGTGTCCACTCCATTTGTGTGTGGTGGGTTGGTGTGTGTTGTCTTTGTCAGTCAGCGACGAAGCTGAATGCGGTCAAGCTTTTTTCCCGCCCTCCCGCCACACACCCACCCACCTGGACGTATAGGATTGGGAATCTCATGCAGACGTCCTGCGGGAGGTCTCGCTCGATGAAGCCGTGAACAAAGATGGGCAGGGAGGTCCAAATGAGGTTGTAGGAGAGGAGCAGCCATGACTCGAACAGCGTGGTGCCGCTGTGGCCGTTGTTGAAGAAGAAGAAGAAGTTCTGGATGACCAGACAGATGTTCTTGAAGAAGGAGTACAAAATGATCTGTCGACACACCGACACACCGACACACACGCACACATGACATGGATGGATGGCCACATGACATGGTGTGGGTGAGTATGTGGTGTGCCCGCCCCGTCCCACTTTACTCACGGCCGAGATGCGGTTGTAGTTTCTGCGGCCGTGGAGGAAGAGCAGATGCTGCAGGAACCTGCAGGCAGACACACAACACACGCACACACGTGTGTGTCCACTCCACACGCACCCATCCCGCCATCCATCCCTCCCTGCCTCACACACCTGAACTGAGCGATGGCATAGTCCGATGCCCTGACGGCCTGCATGCCCTCGTTGCCGATGATGCCCACACCCACGTCGGCCTCCTGGATCATCGACACGTCATTGGCCCCGTCACCGATGGCCAGAATCATCGGCTGCCGACGAACACACGACTTGACCAGGTGCACCAGCCCCGCCTTCTGCGCCGGCGCTACACGACAGGCAATGACGGTGTGGGCTCGCAGCGTCACGCCGAGGAACATACCCTGGACGGCCATGGCACACAGACAGAGAGAGAGAGGGGATGCATGTGTGTGTGTGTGTGTGTGCGTGTGCGTGCTTGATTGGGGAGATAGGACTTGCCTTGATTTCGGAGTCGTCGAAAATCTTGTAGAGTGTCTCCCCGTCGACCACCACGGCCAGGTGTCGCGACAGCTGGGGGTTCTTCAGCGTCTCTATGCAGTCTTCATAGTAGCCCATCATCGCCTCCTGCACACACACACACACACACAACATGGAGGATGCCATTCATTCTGTTCTGTATGTGATGTGTGTCACGGCGCTCTGCTTGCCTTGGCCTTGTCCTTTTCGGACTTCTCCTTGGATTTCTCGGGCTTCGGCGGCGTCTCCTCCTCCTTCACCCAGACACAGACACCCACACACATACGCCCACACGCGCACACGGACAGGACACTCCCAACACATGGATGGATGGATGGATGCCATTCATTCTGTCTGTGTGTCTGTGTGTCTGCGTGTCACTCACCGTGGTTTCTTTGTTCTTGTTCTTGTTCTTGTCTTCAGGTTTTGGTATGGTGATATAGATGATAGTGGTGTCGGTCTCAAGGAGGCCGCACGAGTGGCCGATGTTGATAGCCGTCTCCTGCTTGTCGCCCGTGAGCATCCACACCTTCACCCCGCCGTACAACAGCGCACGGATCGTCTCAACGACCCCCTCCTGGATGCGGTCCTCTATAGCCGTCGCACCCAGCAGCTCCAGCCGGCTCTCCCACCGCTCGGCCACCTGTTCCAGCCGGACGTTGCGGTCGATGAGGGTCGTCTTGGCCTCGAGATACTGACGGCGGAACATCACATACTCCTGCTGCGTCAACACGCGCCGGGCCAGCACTGACTCACACACACACACAGGTACACACAGACGGCGAGACGTCGGCCTTTCTGGGCCATCCATCCACCCACCCATCCATCCATCCAATCGGTGACTCACCGAGTGTCCTGAGTCCGTTGATGGAGAAGCGCTGCAGGTGCTTGGCGACGGTGGATGTGTCCTGGCCGGGCGCCAGGCGCGACAGCATGACGCTGTCTGCACCCTTGCAGTAGAGAGTGGCGCCCTCATCAGTGTCGCTGCCGTCTTCGCGCAGCTGGGAGACATAGAGAGAGACAGAGAGAGAGACGGGGAGACCAAGCCAATGTGTGTGTGTGTGTGTGTGTGTGTGCGGACCTACCTCACGCACGATGACGGACATCCTCCTCCTGGTGCTGCTGAACTCGTTGACACCCACCTGCTCAAACGACACCGTCCGTCCCATTATCTGACCACAGACAGAGACACATCACACACACACACAGACACACGTGGCCATGTAAGGGCGTCTGTCTGTCTGTCTGTCTCTGCGCCTGTGTCAGTCAGTCCTGCGTCACTCTCCCACTGACCGTGAGCACCATGCCCGTCGACGTGCGCGCCACGAGCTCATAGCCGATGTCCTTGGCCGACAGCACCAGGGCCTCCTCGTCTGGCGACGCTGATTGGTACTTCATCTTACAAACAAAACACACAGAGGGCGAGACGGTCGGCTGGTCTTTGGGTCGGTGCGTGTGTGTGGCGGGAGGGGGAGGGGGGCTTGTGATGTGTGCTGACTGACTAACCGTGCCGGACTCGTTCTTCTCGGGGACGACTGTGTGGCAGAGAGCCATGCACCGCAAGAACTCGTCAATATAGTGCGCCTGGTTGCCACCGGCAGCCAAGTCCCTGAACAACGCACAAACAAAGACACACAGAGAGAGAGGGGTGGGGAGGGTCCCAGCATCCTATCCTTCGTCCGTCCCAGCTTGTGCTTCGCTTCAGCTGTCTTACTGTTTGAGGAATGCGTCGGCGAAGACGCTCTGTTTCCTCGGGTACATGTTGACCGTCACCGTGGTGCCGCCCAGATCGCTCTCCCGGTTGGACGTGTGTGTGCCATCCGTCTTGTACGACGCCCAGTTGCTGCGGGTGTGCTGCTCGGTGAAACACGCCCGCACAACGGCATACTCGGGAGCCGACTTGCTGGCCGACGGAGGGGGGGAGGAGGGCGACCGCTGGATGGACTTCTGGCTGCTGCCGGGACAGCCTCCTGCTGCGCCGCCTAGAGCAGGGTCCACGGCGAATGTCTTCTGGCTGCTCGAGTCCATGACGGTCTTGTCCGACTTGGTGGACATCCGCCGCTGAATCCTGCGACCAGCATGTGTCTGCGGCGAGGGGGACGGCGCCACGATGTCACGACTGCACACACGGACACACACACACACACACACATCTGTGTGGGGGCGCTGGTGGTTGGCGGCTCGGCTCACGTGACGGCCTGTCCAGTGCTGGTCCTGATGGTCCTGATGATGCTCCCTCGTGTGCCCACTGACGGCGGCGATGGCGTCTTGCGCTGGTACTGGTGCTGGTGGTCGGTGTGAGCGGATGGGGTGGTGTGCACGTGTTTGTCGGGGTTGGGCATGGCCATGGGTGCGTCGGGGGGGTCGTCGCCGGCGGTCTCCTCGGCCTGGTACTCGTCAGACAGGGCCTCGATCGTCGGCAAGGAGGTGTCCTGCATCAGACTCTGGTACACACACACACACACACACAGAGGGAGGGAGAGAGAGAGAGAGAGTCGGTGTGCGAACCAGTGTGTGCTGTGTTGTGTTGACTGACTTCGTCGCCGTAGGTGGTGCCGTTGATGGAGCACAGCACGAATTGCATCTCGTTCTGCGTGATGGTGCCCGTCTTGTCCGAGAAGACGTACTCAATCTGCACCACAGACAGAGTCAAGACAAGACAAGACAAGACAACACACGACGCAGGTGGGTGGCCACAAGGATCCATCAATCGGTGTGACTGCCAGTGGCCAGGCCATGTGTGTGTGTGAGTGTGTGATTGCCTGTCCCAGGTCGTCGTTGAGGTTGACGGTGCGCGCCTTAGCGCCCGTCGCCGCCAGCTTCTCGCTCTCGTAGAACATGTTGGGATCCCGCTCTGATGAAGCAATCAATCATTGGGACGGACGGATACACACCACACCGAGGAGGCCGTGCCGTGCTCTGCTGTGCTGTCTCCGTGCGTGTGTGTGTGCGGGGTGGAGTGCCGTGCCGACTCACCGATGAGAATGGCCTGTATGCCCTTGACGATGTCGATGGTGACGTAGAGCGAGATGGGCACCATGTTGTTGTAGAGAATGATGAACGTCACTATCATCCAGATCTTGTCGGCTGATCCATGACAGACAAGATGATGCATCGAGGACCGACCGACACACATCCCTGTCTGTCTGTCTGTCTGTCTGTCAGTCAGCCAGGGCTCTCGCTGCGTTGGATACCTACCATAGTCCATTTGACGGCCGGCAAAGAAGGTCTCCACCTTCTCGCCCAACGGGAAGGACAGAGCAAGAATCACACTCACCTAGACATACACACACACACACATCAATCACATCGACACACTCCCTGTGTGTGGTGTGGGGTTCTTACGATGCATGCAGTGAGGAGGACAGAGAATATGATGGCGAGGAGGTAGTTGGTCTGCCGTTCGATGCGCGACCGCTTGCTCGGCGCCGCCTTGCTATTCTGCATCATCCGGGTGTCCGACCCGGTGTACACCACAGCGCCGTACAGCCACTTGGTGTTCCGAATCTTGGAACCTACCACACACACACACACACACACACATCAGCAAACAGACATACATAATGAATGTCGATCGACACACACAAGGCACGGCACACACGCAGCGGAGCGTCCGTCCGCTTACCTTTGAGAACGAAGTTCTTTTGTTCGATGGGTTCGACTCTGGGGAACTCGTCTTTGCCAATGGTGCCGCTGAAGGAGTCGAGCCGCTTGTTGGGCAGCTCGCACTTGATGAACCCACGCAGCGCCGCTATCAGACGGATCTGGTTGTCGTCTGCGGTGCACACGACCACAACACACCACACACCGCACTCTCGTCTGTCTGTCCATCGGATTGGGGTGTGTGTGTGTGTGTTTGCGGTGGCGGTGCGCACTCTTGGTGAGTTCGACGGCGTGCTTGAGCTTGAGGTTGGTCTCTCCGTCGAGCATGGCGGTCTCAACGTAGCACTCCCCCTCGTCGCCACTCGTGGCGAGCACCACTATGTCCGCCGGGACGTCCTGCTCACTCTCCAAGACTACTATGTCGCCCACCTGACACACAGGGAGGGAGAGAGAGAGACAGAGGACAGAGGACAGAGGACAGAGGACAGAGGACAGCGGCCGTGATTGCTGACCGAGCGCAGCGCGGCGCAGCCCAGTCCGCCCATTACCTACCTTGAGGTGTTTCCACTTGACGATCTTGGATTCCTTGAGGTATGGGTCGATCTTCTGGACGGGGAAGTTGTTGACTGACCGGTCGTTGAGGGCGCGACGGTGGTCCTCGATCGCATCCTTGCACATCTACACACAGAGCAACACAGAGCACAGCACAGCACAGAACAGCACAGCAGACACAACATCATATCAGCACACATGTGCTGGGCGCATTGCATTCATTCTGTGTCGGCGGCGAGGCGACCGTGATGAAGATGACGACCGACAGCGGCATGATTGTGGCCCACCTGAGCGCGCACACAGCACAGCACAGCACAGCCAGATTGGATTGGAGGGAGGGGCTAGCTTAGCTTGGCTTGGCACACTGCGCACTTGTTTGTCGGTGAGAGTTCCTGGGGCAGCAGCTGGAGGATGGAGATCCACAGAAACCAAAAGTTGGCCGCCCGCTTGAACTGCTCAAACAGATTCTTCGGAACCATATTCAGCACCTGCAGTGCATGACACACACACAGGCACACACACACACAGCACACCACAGCACAGCGATGGGCAGACCAGACCTGACCTTGTTCTGCCTCCATCTCACTCATCTGCTTTCTTACAGTGTATCTTGATGTCCTGACGGTGTTGTCAGGGAGGTCCTCCCCCCCTCCCCTGGCCCCCTCGCTGGCGTAGAACCGAATCAGCCGCGTCCCGTCCTCACCCTCCGTCCCCCTGAACAGCTTGCCCACATTGCTCAAATTAGACAGCCGCCTCTCGTGTGCCGGATCGCTCGCAACCGACATGCCCACCGACGCCACGGACGCTCGCTGAGAACCCGCCCTCCCGCCCGACGGAATGTCGGACAAGTCCCGGGTGGGCGCCGCATTGTTGTGGGCGGATCCCACCCTGAGCGGCACGCGCTTCATGATGTTCTGCCACCACATGGACGAGAGGGAGCCTTGCGGGTGAGTGCCAGAGGTGATGTGCTCCGCCCACTGGCCCTGCGACTGCTGGGGTGGCAGGTGGTGGTTGCTGTGAGTGGCGGTGGGCATCACGTGAATGGCCTCAGGGCTTACTGCACTGCCGCCATCCATCCACTAGACCGCCTCTACGGCTCCAACACACGCTGCCCGCAGCAACCACGATGAATGACGATAACTGCCGGCGCGTGATTGGCAGGCAGGGGCAGCCCCGGCCGTCGGCGACCGATGAAGGGTTGCTGGGCCGAGCGGGTGGCTGTGCTCACGCCGATAAGACCCCCGAGAACGCCACAGGATGACCAACACACTCTTCTGTGGGCGAGGCTGAGCGAGAGCTCGAATGGATCTCAAAAGCCCCGAGCTGTATACAGTGAACTCTGCCTTCTTCCCAAGCCAAGCAGCCTTCGTTGCTTTCGAGAACGAATGACGCATCTCTCGTCTAAGCTCGCATTCTGAGCTCGCATACTTGTGAGGCGAGTTTGGACATTCCATGAAACCGCTCTCTCTGTGAGGCGAGTTTGCTTCGCCACACGACAAGCCGGTCAGATCAGGTCAGTAAAAAGCTCCAAACACAAAAACTCAACGAACGAGATGATGTACGATGAGCTGTGTGATGCGGTCGGTCCCCATGGATGTTTCGATCTGCAGCTCAGCTGCCCCCCCTGTCTGTCATCACTCACAAGTCTGCCTGTCTCATGGCGTCATTCAGCGAGGAGGAGCTGGCCGACATGCTCGAGTGCGCCAGATATGGCGAGATCGATGAGTTGAAAGCATACATTCGCCGAGGCATGGACGTCAATCATAGGGACGGCCACGGCAACACCGCCCTCCACAAGGCGGCCGCCAACGGGCACGCAGACGTTGTCGAGTATCTGCTCAAGGAGGCCAATGCCGCTCATTTGGCCAACGAGGCGGGCAACATGCCCCTTCACTGGGCGGCGCAGAACAAACACCACACCGTGGTTCGGCTGCTGACGACCTATGTGACCGATTTGGATGTGCTCGCCCTGAATGAGTTCGGGAGAGGTGCACTGTCTGAGGGCTTCTCAGGTCAGCCAACGCACCTCTCCCAGTGGTGTGTGTGTGTGTATGTGTCCCGGGCTTTCACGATTGGTTGCAGGTGGTGACCCTGAGACGGTCAAGGCGCTGCTGCAGCACAAGTCGGCCGCCGACCTAGAGAAGACCATCACACAGCAGGCGACGGATGACACCATCGCAGAGGCAGACGAGGACCCACAGGCACCAAGCCAAGGCCGCGCTGCGCAGGACGTGACCTATCGGATACGGCTCGGCCGTGGTGATGATGGCCGTGTGTTGAGTCTGAGGGAGGTGGGCCTCGGTTGTGTGCAGACCTTCGACACAGACAGTGGCGCGGACACGACGGGCGTCTGCCTGTGGGGCTCGGGCGTCATCCTCGCACAGTGGGTGGCCGACCTGGGCAAACAGGTGAGTAAACAGTCACACGCATAAATTTCGGTTGATGTGATGTGATGCCTGCCTGTCACATGACATCACACAGGGATTCTTCGGCGGCAAGAGAGTGCTGGTGTTGGGTGCGGGCTGCGGCCTCGAGGGCCTGGCCTGCGCGCACTACTCCACACCTCCGCCCTCATCAGTGCTGCTCACAGACAGCCTCCAAGCCGCCACAGAGAACCTCCAGCACAACGTCCAGATGAACCAACACGAGAGCGTGGAGATGAGCGTGGCCCGTCTAGACTGGGGCGACTCCGCCACATGGCCACAGGGCGACACGGCATCATTTGACGTGATCTTGGGGGCTGACCTGGTGTACCATGACAAGGCTGGGGGGCGGCTGGCGGTGGCCGTGTCGCGGCTGCTCGCCCGGCCGCAGGGGGTCTTCCTGTGCGCCAGCAGAAGTGACCGGGAGGGCGCCGACACCTTCACAGCACAGTGAGTGAACGTGGGTGCCCACAGGGAGAGGTGCTGTGTCACATACGTCTGTCTCTCTGTCTGTCTGTCTGTCTGTCTGTCTGGTGTGGTGTGTTGTGTGTCAGGATGGAGCGGCTTGGTTTGGTGAGTGAGGCGGTCTCCATTCCTCCAGAGTACCGGGAGAACCCCCTCGTCGACCCGTCAGAGGTACACAGCTTGCTGTCGCCGTCTTGGATGCTCTGGGTTGCGATTGGTGTACATAATGTAATTAATGGTGTGGTGGTCAGGATGAGAGTGCGGTGTTCCTGGCAGAAAAGGTTGAGAGCGACGGGTCGGTGGACGACCCCTACAGACACGTCGTCCTACACAAGTACACCTGGGCGTCATGATGCGGCGGGGCGGCCGGCTGGGTGCTATCCGATAGACATACAGGTGACAGGTGTCTGTCGATTCGATTTGAGACTTACTACTTTTGTTGTGGTGATGTGGTGATGTATGTTGGTGTGGTGTGAGTGGACCGGGGTGGGGTGAGGTGAAGGGTGCTGCTAGCATTGAACATCTCGCGAGTCTGGTATCTAATTCCATCCATTTGCGGTGTGTCTGTATACCTCACCACCACACAAACCAGACAGACAGGCAGCCACACAGTGTGCCCTGCCCAGCGACAGTGGTGGTTCGCACAGTGCCCGCCCAGACAGACCGTCGGGAGGGAACACCTGCACTCATTTATCTGATCTGGCAGGCCCTCCCCTCCCTCCGATCAGGCGAAACGAGCTAAACCACCAGAACCCACCGAGGGAGGCACAGATGAGATGAGATGAGCCAGCCAGTCGTGTTTAGACAACAGGTAAGAGCAGCAGTAAGCGTCCGTCGGCCGGTCGATAAAGCGACCGTGCCGTGCGCCGTTGAATGTGCTGTGCTGTTCTGTGCTGTACAAGAGGGATAGGATGAGAGGGATATGTCAGACAGACAGACAAGACAGTGATAAGTACACGCAGCCTGCAGTAACAACCAATCAACCTCCCCTCTCCCCTCTCCCCTCTGTGTGTGTATGGTATGTCAGTCATTACATCAGCTAGCTATCGACAGGCAGGACAAAACAGCCACACGCACTGCAGCACACACATACACACATCCATCCATCCATCCACACACAGCACCATGACATCGGCACAGCGTCACGACGGACATCGCAATGTCGGTCGGTAGGTACACAATTCCGCGCACACCAACACCAACACACCAGGGCGGTCTCTCTGTGGTCATGACAGGCACGGCACGATCCACATCAGTCATGTCTCTCTCACTCAGCACACACAGAACGGGACCATCTAGACAACCACGGCGGGTCGACCCGCCTATCGATCAAGCCGCAGGTGACGCGCCAGTCCCATCGCACCGCATCCGTCGCACGCCCAAGTGCTCTCATCTGCTCTCATCTCTCTCCTCTCTCAACCACAATCGGATAAGACAACACATCTAACTCGGCTGGCTCTCATCCTCGGCTCCCTCTCTGCACGGTGCCTCGGTCTCAGCTGCATCTGATGATCTTTTCCTAGAGCCGTCGCATCGCCGGTAATGGGATGTGACAACACTGGGGCTGAGACCATCAGCTGCCAGAGACCGAGGGCATCACGGCAAGGGAGCATGCCACTCTCTCTTTCTCTCTGTCTGTCTGTCTGTCTGTCCGTGTGTGGCCTTTTCTTCTCATCGCCCATCGCAACGGCTCTCGCCACACGCGACAGAGAGAAGAAACGTTACCAGAAGCGACGAGAAAAGGTCACACGTGGACATGAGGCACATCACAGTGGGCACACACATGTCACGCGCACGCACCCAGAAGCAAAAGCTGCGTGTGTAGTGTTATTTTCGTCTTGTTGCCTGGCCTTCTCTCTGGTGGCTTGTCAGCTCTGCCCCCTGCCCTGAGGGAAGGCAAAATACTTTCTGTGCCACCTCCATGTCGTCTTCCTCTCCTCTCTGCGCTGTGTCTGTCTGTCTGTCGTGCTGTGTCATAAAGTTAAGAAGTCAAGACCACTCGGGCGGGCAAAACACCGACGACAGATAGATGGGATGGATCAAGCCAGCCAGCCAAAACCATTTGGGTGTCTGTGGGGTGCACACCACAGGAACGCAGGCACACACGCAGGTAGGCAGCAGGGCGCACCAAGCAACCATTGTGTTGTACTGTACACGCAGCCATCAACAAGTGACGCTCACACAGCACGTCCGTCAACACCGAACACCACACGGCACATCACATCAACAGCACCCCTGCCACCCCACGACGACCAACACCCACCCCCCCACCCCCAAACACACCATCACAAGCCACCCTCTCCACCTCGCCGTCATCTGTGTGGATCAGATCACTTGGACGATGATTTGGATGACTTGGATGACGTCGGCCGGCCGTTGCAGGAGGCGCACACGTCGAATGGCCATGTGAGTGCGATGGGGCCGGCCAGCGGCTTGAAGAGCTTGCTGCTGCCGTCCTTGGCACCGCCCTCGGCGGGAGCCTTGTACTTGCCCTCGACGAGCTTGGCGCCGATGTCTCCCGGGAGGAACTCGCCCGTGGCCAGCCAGTGGCCGCAGCTCTCCGGCAGGGCGGCCGCCTTGGCCTCATAGGCGGCCACCTGCTCGGGGGTCAGCACGTCCCTCCACCGGCCATTGGTGCCCTGAACGAAGATGGCAACCAGCGACAGACGAAGCGACATGTGTGGGAAGGACTGTGGGGTGTGGGGTGTGGTGTGAGTCGCTAGCTTACCTTGTTGATGAAGACCTTGCCGCCCTCCTTGGCGTCTTTGCCCCAGAAGGCGCCGCCTCCCGGGGCCATCTTGTCGCCGTTCTTCTTCATCCACTCAAACGTGCAGCGCTCAACCTTCCAACACACACACATGAGACCATCTGCCGTGCGTGCGTGTGTGTGTGTGTGCGTGTGTACCTGTTTGTCGAAGATGGCCTCGTCGATGGGGATCTGGAGGAACTGGGCGATGCGTCGCATCTCGCCGGGGAGGTCCTGCTTGAGGTTGTTGAAGTGGACGAAGAGCACGTTGGGCAGGCCACGCAGGTGCCACCACGACTCCATGTTGGTGAACAGAGACCAAAACGGCCAGCCGTCCTCCTCCCTAAACCACACACACACACACACCCGACAAGGGCAACAGGTGAGATGAGTCACGTGTGTGTTTATGTGTGTGGGTGGGTGGGTGGGTGTGTAGGTGTGTGTGCGTACCAGGGCAGTGTGGACCACCCCTTGGTCAGCCACAAGTCAAACCTGAACAGACAACCGACACACAGAGATGAGCATGAGCATACACTCTGTGTGCGCGCGGCGTGGCGTGGTGTGGTGTCGCTGCCTGTTGGCTGACCATTTCGACTCGTCGAGTCCGGGGAAGTCGGTCCATCGTGGCATGGGGGGCCCCACACGACCCGGCGCACCATTGATGCCCGCGTAGAAGTTGTCATTGCCAGACTTCCAGTGGCTGACACACACACACACACAGCGCAGCACACATTGTCACGCTTCCCTCCCTCCCCGTCTCCCAGGGCTCTCACTTGGCGAGCGACATGAAGGCATCGCGGCCATCGCGTCCGACGTAGATGTACTTGACCTCGGGATAGATGGGCTGTGCGTCGGAGGGGAGGTGGCACTTGAGGACGCGGCGGTGCGTCTGCGCCTCGACGGACGGCATCTTGACCTCCCTCGGTGGCACCCTCATGTCGACCCACGGCGAGATGTCGCTGATGGCCTGGTTGCCGGGGGGGTCCTCGCCCTTGAACACCAGACTGTTGATGATCTGCTGCATCCACGTCGTACCACTCTGGCCAAATGGTATGGCAATCGACCGACAGACAGACACAAACCAAACCATAACACGACTACCATCTGCCGTTCCCCTTTCCCTGCCCACACACTACTACACGTACCTTGTAAGCCGTGGCAACGATGACGTCAGTATCGCGCGGCTTCCAGTCGTCCCAGTGTGTGCTGTCGAAGAGGGCGCTCTGGTAGGTGCGGTGCCGCTTCTTCAGATACTCCTCGTCGAGGCACGTCCAGTCCACCGACGGATAAGACGGCGTGGTGCTCTCGATGGCCGCACTGTCGCCGCCCATCGTGGCTGGCGTGGTGGACTGGTGCGGACGGCCGGGACGCAGGGGTACTCACTCACTGCAGTTCCTCGAGTGCTGCCCTCCGTGTGTGGTCACCTTCTTCCTCTTCGTTTCCTCAACGGTGGGGCGTTGGCCTTTTTTGCAACGGGCGCCGACAAACCCTAATATGCCTTTTTCAGGGTTTGGAGTGTAGGGTTCAGCTCGCAACGTGACGTGGTGGGGATCGATCTCACGCAGCCTCTTTCTCCGCTTGACACGTGTAGCCTTTGTTAACATCGGCGCGAATCAGCGGTGCTGTGCATCTTTGCGCTTCTGTGGGCATCTTTGAGCATCATGAGGTCGCTCATCGTCGGTGCGGTCCTGGTGGCCGCCATCGCCACATCAGCTCTGGCCGCCGAGGAGGAGAAGAAAAGTGAGCAACGGAAGGCTGACAGATGGTTGCAGCGAGGCAGGCCAGCTGCCGCGCTGTGCAGGGGGCGTAGATCTGAGACACACAGAGGGCTGTTCGGGGGCAGACACACGTGTATGGCGCCTGCTTCTGCGCTGTGTGTGTGTGGTGTGTGTTGTGTTGCAGTTGAGGGTCCTGTGGTGGGTATTGACCTGGGCACGACCTACTCGTGTGTGGGCATCTACAAGAACGGTCGCGTGGAGATCATCCCCAACGACCAGGGCAACCGCATCACGCCCTCCTATGTCGCCTTCACCGAAGACGAGCGGCTCATCGGCGAGGCTGCCAAGAACCAGGCCACGGTGAGCCACACCACACACACCCACACACACACCCAGACCCCCACACGCCCTCTGCACCGTACTACGTGTGTGTGTGTTTCGCGTTTTGTGTTGTGTGTGTGTGCAGGTGAATCCGTCTCAGACCCTGTTTGACGTGAAGCGCCTGATCGGTCGCAAGTACAAGGACACGGAGGTGCAGCGCGACAAGAAGCTGCTGCCGTTCATCCTTGCCGAGAAGGAGGGCAAGCCCTTCATCGAGGTGCAGGTCAAGGGCGAGACCAAGTCGTTCGCGCCGGAGGAGATCTCCGCCATGGTCCTCGTCAAGATGAAGGAGGTCGCGGAGGCCTACCTCGGCAAAGACGTCAAGCACGCCGTTATCACTGTCCCTGGTGCGCTACCTCCCCCTCCCCCTCCCCCCCGTGTGTGTCCCATCTCCCCATGTGTGTGTGTGTGTGTGTGTGTGCAGCGTATTTCAACGACGCGCAGCGTCAGGCGACCAAGGATGCGGGCACCATCAGTGGGCTGAATGTGATCCGCATCATCAACGAGCCCACTGCGGCGGCCATCGCCTACGGCATGGACAAGAAGCAGGAGAAGAACATCCTCGTCTATGACCTCGGCGGCGGCACATTCGACGTCTCACTCCTCACCATCGACAACGGCGTCTTCGAAGTCGTCGCCACCAGTGGTGAGTGTGTGAGTGGCGCCAACACAAGAAGCCGCCGCCATGACCCCCTCCCTCCCTTTTTGTTCCCTCTTTGTGTGTGTGGTTTGGTTTTTTCAGGTGACACCCACTTGGGCGGCGAGGATTTCGACCAGCGTGTGATGGACCACTTCATCAAGGTCATCAAGAAGAAGTACGACAAGGACATCAGCAAGGACAAGAGGGCCCTGCAGAAGCTCCGCCGCGAGGTCGAGAAGGGCAAGCGCGCTCTCAGCTCGACGCACCAGGCGCGGATCGAGATCGAGAGCCTTGTCGAGGGCGTCGACTTCTCGGAGACACTTACGAGGGCGAGGTTTGAGGAGCTCAACAACGACCTCTTCCAGAAGACCCTCAAGCCCGTCAAGAATGTCCTGGATGACGCTGGCTTCAAGAAGACACAGGTGCGCACCGCACCCCCATCCCCATCCACACAACACACGCCCACAGGAGCCTGGCCGACGTCTGTGTGTGGGTGTGGGTGTGTACAGATTGATGAGATCGTGTTGGTTGGCGGTTCCACGCGTATTCCGAAGATCCAGCAGTTGATCAAGGATTTCTTCAACGGCAAGGAGCCCAACAGGGGCATCAACCCCGATGAGGCCGTCGCATACGGCGCGGCTGTCCAAGCCGGTAACTTACTGCACAGGCACCCCCCCCC